AGCTTACGAATCCAAGTTCCGATTTACTCAATGGGCATTGGGCAATGACAGATCTAAGTGTTAAACTGCCTGCTCTGGTTTCAGACTGGATTTGGATGGGGTTTGAAGTCAACATGAAGTCAAACTTGGTGGTCATTTATACCTACTTAAAAGGACAGTTCACTCCAAAATGCAAATTCTTTCATCAACGACTTGAGGGTGAGGAAATGATGATAGAATTTTCATTTCTGGGTGAACTATCCCTTTAATACATGTTCCTAGTCGTATCGTGTACAGACAGTTCATCGGTGCATGTTACCCCCTAAGAAAAAATAAAATAAAATAATTATCATGAATTGATGGATAAAATCATGATTTTATCTTATATGGAATGTTTTATTTCAATATGAAATATGTAAAAGTATGAAAGTTAAATTGGTATAAAGATCTTATTTCGGATATGATAGCATTAGACAATGGTTGATTGTACTTTTGGATTCACAGTAAGACTTTTAACACCTTTATCTGATGAAGAGAAATGTGTTGATCATGATGAGTCAGTATCCATCACAGTATCCTGTTCTCGCATCCTGAAATTCTGATGATCAGGCCCAACCGTTTTACATAAACATGCACACACTTTGACTCACACATTAGAACATGCTGAATCAGACCCAGGCACATAAAAAAGATAATGCTTTGTTTGATATCTACATTCAACCACATGCACTGGATTGCTTTCTGACCAGTGCTCTAATGAAAAGCACTCATTTAGAAACATTCAGCTGTGCGATTGCTTTGATTAGCCAAAGGGTTTGTACTGGACTGCCCACATAGCAGCCTTTTGAAGAGTTCTTTAGCTGATCGCATGACTGGGCAACATCTCCACATGTACTGAGAGTTTAATACGTTTAAACCAGCACATATAATCACACCAGTTAACTACACTAGTTAACTACGCTCTCTTTTCTAATTGACTAGTCACCTTCTTTCCCTGTGTGTGTGTATATCACTGTGGCTACAAAACATATTTGCACACTATAATTAAAATATCAAACTAAGTTGCATCTGCAAACAAATGTTGCAAGAGCTTTTCTGAGAACTAATTTCACTTTTAACCAATTTCACCCAAGGTCATTTGTTGTAACATTTGAGAAGCAGAAAGTATCCAATTTGTGTCTTCATTTTGAACAGAATAACTATTGTTTTTGTGATTCAAAATGTAACAAATGTTTTGCTTGATGCAAAAATGCAACTGGGTCATTCCGTGTCAACTCAACCAGAGGTCCATGGCTCAAATTTCTGATTTAGTTAATATTTTTTTCTGTAGTAATCAGGAGTAATCCACTATTTTGTAGAGGGGTGTCAAAATGGCAATCTTCACCTGAGATTTGGATCTAAATGAGAGGGGTGTAAAATGACTTTAGAAAAATGCCAGCATCATTATTTTATTTTTACACAGAGATTTGTAGGTCTATTAGTAAAATCTGTTGACTTTATAGCAATCTTTGTTTCATTATATGCCAACGGTGAAAACAATAATGATCAAATAAAAAAATTTTAGTCAGGGAAGTTTCTGAAATTTGGTTGATTTGACAAGGAATGACCCAACTAGCTTTAGATGTTGTCTTCAGGCATTCGTATTGCTTTGATTAGTCGACTACTTGTTCAGACAACCTATAGACTAGTCAGTTTTGAAAATATGTAATTTTGCTGATCGTATGCATCTTGCTTTGATATCTTTTTAATGCTGTGTCATTTGTGTGTTTTTAAAGGCCCTGTTAGCGACATGTCCACCAACCCGATTCTTGCAAACCTGAGCATGAAAAATAATTTACAGGCAGAGAATGGCTGGTATGGGTTACGTTTCCTATACAACGACAATACAACACTGCTTAACTACCATAGTACAATTCTTCATTGAAGAAATCAACTAGCTAGTCACCACTGTTTCCTGAAACCGTATTGTCGCAAATTTGTTTGCTCAACAACATTGGTTGATGTCACACAGGTGTAAGAGTAATAACTTATTTTTTATTAATCCGCTTGAGACCAAATTAAAAGGGATAGTTCACTTTGAAATTAATTTTTGATATGTTTTAGCTTACCTCAAGGGCATCCAAGATGTAGGTGTCTTTGTTTCCGCAGTAGTTTCAATTTTGATAATTTTAGGTCAAACCGTTCTTGTCTGTCAGTCATATAATGCAGGTCTATGGTCACCACCTCAAAGAGCATGCACAGAGAAGTCCAAATTAAACATGATTTAATGACTTGTAAATGTAAGTACACATTGATGGCCTAAGACACGAAACGAGTGGTTTGTGTGAGAAAACGAACAGTATTTATATCTTTTTTACCTCTTGTAAACACAGCCACGTCCAAGTGATCTGAGGGTGCGGGCGCTTCGGTCTGTGCGTTACAAGAGGTAAAAACGATATAAATACTGTTCATTTTCTCACACAAACCGCTCGTTTCGTGTCTTAGGCCATCAATGTGTACTTACATTTACGAGTCATTAAATCATGTTTAATTTGGACTTCTCTGTGCATGCTCTTTGAGGTGGTGACCATAGACCTGCATTACATGACTGACAGACAAGAACGGTTTGAGCTAAAAATATCAAAATTGAAACTTCTGCGGAAACAAAAACACCTACATCTTGGATGCCCTTGAGGTAAGCTAAAACATACCAAAAATTAATTTCAAAGTGAACTATCCCTTTAATGCCAGATTTTTTGCTAACATTACAGGCATGGCAGCTGAGGACTAATTCTTATTTTTTCTCAGTTATTTTTTTAATTTCCAGATTCAGTAGTCTTTTTCTTACATAGGCCTACTAGAGCATGTACGCACGCACATGCACACTTCAAAAACGACGATTTAGATCTCTTGACAAACTAAAAGACGTAAATACAATTTTTATATTATTCAAAATGAAAGATATAAATTGTACTGAATGTCAGCAAACAATAAGCTATGCTTCCAACCACAGGTCGATAGTTGTTGTTTCCATCACGCAACTTTGCAATGCTGTTTGCGAATATTCGTTGAAACTATGGTTTCGGGAAACACTGACTCGTTGAACAATGTCGACAACGACAGAACTTGTGACCATAGATGGATATCGATGCTTTTGGGAAACGCACCCCTGATTGTTTTCTGATATGCAAGAAAAGCGTGGGCCATTCCCCAAATGTTTATTTTATTTATTTTTTGCTCTTTACAGAGAGCATGTGAAAAAATCAACAAAATCGGTTACAGCATCTTTATCTGGGACGTGTCCAAGTTTTGGTGCCACTGCACATACAGTCAGCCTTCCAGAAGCCTACTACGTAGTACACTGTTTTTGACCCTTTAATAATGTTTATTGCCCATGAAAGACTATCCAAAGTGGTGGCAATATTATATTTTCTTAGTTATTGAATGACAATACAAGAATCACTAGATTGTGTTGGAACTACATTGAATTTCTGGTCACATGCCTGTCCCATTCAGTGCTTATGAAACAACTCCAAATTGAGCTTGTACTATAGCCTGAGGTATTTTCCCAATGTTCACTGTTTTCTACTGGGCCAGCCTGTTTGACTTTTTGTTTTTTTTCTATGGATGTTGCTGAAATAGACTTTAACTTAGTTCTGCATACCAGTGAATTAAGATTTGATTATCAGAAAAATAAACTGTAGCTAAATTCTGCAGCTGTCTGAAGCAGCAGACACACTCTTTTTGCCCTTTACAGAGAGGTGACCATTTTTGCTGTAGTCATTCATTGAATTAGATCTGAAATAGCATGTTTTTAATACCATGATTTGTCTTGATAAATATAAGTACATGAGCATGATGGGATAAATACAGTGTAAACATGTTATCAAAGTTAACATGCATAAGTACACCTGACTTACATTAACTCAACCTCTGCTTGCTGAGAATAACAGAAGGCTCAGCCTTTGCAATTGAATAGATCCCTCTATTTTTTCGCCCTATTAAAAAAGGATTTTTCTACAGTCCTTTTTTGAAAATGCCCACCGTGGAGAATTTTCTGGGTTAGTGGTAAATTCTCCAGTAGTTTCACTCTTTTTAGATTAGTATCACAGGAAATAGTTATAGAGTGGTATTGCTTTGTTAGTGCGGAATAGCCTTTCTGCAAAGGAATTTAAATGTGTAGCTTTGTTACTTTTATGCATACATAAACAACTAGTCCAACCATTTGTCTTATGGACAGAAATGATACATGAAATTGTGTGTCTTTTGTGGTGAAGATGTATCAAATTCTATCATTTTCAATCTGATAAAGCAGGAAAAACAACTGAGGGATCATGGACCCAAGCCATATCATCAAAATGTAGTTAATTATTGTACATTGTTAATTTTTTTGGATCACCGTATTCTTTGACACTTCACATGAGCATTTTAATTATTCTCTAAATAATCTCATATTCATAACAGAGAAAACTATAGTAATTCACAATGCAAAAATACACCATGTAAGACTTCTAAGAGATAGCACAGTTCTTGTAATATAACAAAGTATTATCTTTATAATAGTCCTAGCTACTATGAATATTGTGAGGAAATGAAGTGTGAGTCTATCTGTCATGTTTCTCAATATGTTTTTAAACTAAAAGTGGTAGGCTAATGTTTTGCAAGACGTGGTTTCGGGCAGGTGTGCTTAAGTGTCTGTCACATTATCACAGATATTGAGGTTCATACAGTAGTTCTGAACCCTCTGCTTCTGGAGTGACATTTAGACTCAATTTTATTATGGTAATGTAACTGAAAGCTAATGAAATCATATTCCCTCCACGATTGTAATGATGTGCAATGGAAAAGATTCAGTGGATGATTCATGGAACCGTTGATGCCAATGCCAGCCCTTTTTTTTAGAGTATGGCTGAGGCTGACTGAGAGTAGAGAATACAGTTGCACTGGTAACTGAAAACTTTTGTGATGCATATTGGTCAGAGTGACTAGTTTACACTGTTTACTTGACCTCATTCTTTTTCTCTTTCACGTCTGTCCTCCAGGTTCCAGAGATCATCAGCACTCTCAGACAGGCCGGCAAAAGTTCTGCCCGACAAGAAGACACTACCTCACCTCTACCCAGCAACGATCAGCCAGATGCCTCCTGCTCCACGGCAATGACGGCCGATGCAGCAACAGCCTTTTCTAAGAAGTTTGAGGTGTTGTTCTGTGGGCGAGTGGTGGTGGCCCACAAGAAAGCACCACCCGCGCTGATAGATGAGTGTATTGAGAAGTTTGGACGTGTCAGCGTCACAGGCTCACTTGCAGCAGGCATCAGGCGGGCGTTCTCGCTCAATCAGGTTACACTCAATTTTTTTTACAATTTTTTTATTCCGAACACAATACTAGATTGTGGTTATAATACTAGATTAAACTTTCTGCACCAGGGGTTTTTACTGATGTAGAAAATCCTTTTGTTATGTGAATGTGATTTAGCATAAGCTCATAAATATCCTTTTTTTCTTCTTTTTTGTTAATATTATTGTTTTCCATATGTTAGAATCTTATCATTTTTCAATCAAAACTATATAATTAAATAAAACATCCCTCCCCACACTTTATGGACTTACTTTTCTAGTCATTATATTATATTATATTATATTATATTATATTATATTATATTATATTATATTATATTATATTATATTATATTATTTAAAGCAATATCATATTTTATATTTATTATATAATATTAAACGTCTACTTTTAATATTTATATTATATCTATTTTCATAGCACCATTTTCGTGACCATCCTAAAATTTCAAATATTTTTTAAGTACGTTTTGTCCTTAACTGATAATTGTTTCACTTCCAGGTGGTCAATGGAACAAACGAGGGAGCAGATGGAGGTGGAAAACGACCTCTATTTTTCAAAAGAGATCAGAGTTTTCCGTTTCTGCAAGGGTTGGATGAGAATGGCCTATCACCGGAGCTCCAGCGACGAGCAGCAGATGGAGCCACCGGGGTCCAACCCACCAGCCTACAGGAGAACAGAACCATGCTGTTCACAGTGAGTGCCACACACACACTCCCTCACACATGCAAATATAAACATCAGAAGCAGAGGTAGGAATGTGTCGATGTTTGCTAACCGCCACAACAGTAAAAAGAGCAGCAGAAGAAGAGACGATATTTGCACCAACCCAAAATAAGGGCGTTTCTCAATACCAAGTACGCAAAGTTTGGACTTGCGTCCTTGGAGGTTCGGACTTGCCAAGTTCAGCTTAGGAGTACAAACTGACGAGGACGGGAGTACGCAAGTTCTGTGATTCTGCAAATGGAACAGCAGCGTTTTTGATAATGTCACTCACCTCGCTTTGGCTACTCCGGTTATCTGTATGTATATTTACAATCAAATGGATATCCATTATATAAGTATAAAGTATAAGAAGAATAAATAAAGACATGCAAACAATTTAGTCAACTACTTCAGGTGGGACTAAATGCTGCTAGGTGGAACAGACTAATTTGCAATACTGTCTGCTCAAAATAAATGAAAAGAAACCTAGCATTGGGGATTTGTTGCTTTTTCCTGTTGTACCGAACTCGTATCGAACCGCGACTCCAAAACCGAGTTATGTACCAAACCGTGACTTCTGTGTACTGTTGCACCCATATAATATAATGATTCTTTTTGTACTGATACTTTAGTTTAAATCAGGGGTCGACATCCAGGTGCGAGATATCTGAATTAAATGCATGCGCCTCTCTCACTTTTTTGCTCACGTTCCGTTTTTAGAGTTAATTTAATGAAAAAGCTAAGTGTTGTCTCAACATATATTGGGATGTGTTGCTTATGGGTTAGTTGGCAATACACATTAGTAGTTTACCGTCAGCATTCAGCAAATACGCATTTATATAATTTAAACAAATCTTTGAATATCTAATAAACATGTTATTTCACAAACCTTGCAGAAGTAGTTGAATCCAGCTGTCAGATATTCTGAAGTGTGCATTTGTAGCCTGCATGAACATGTTCTCTGTGCATGACAGTCGGTCTGTATGAATTGAATGCGGACAGGAGAAGACTTCAGCTTCACTGGAGACGCTCGATCGACGCGCTATATTCAGTTGCCCACTTTCATATGTCATTTTCACTGTGTGCTGTATGTAAAATTAGCGTCTATATTTGAAAAAATATGATTCCCAGTGCGCACAAACGTACCAGATTACTGAGTGCCGTGTTGGTTACAGTGCTTACTTTTTATTCATATTTTTCAAACAATTTCTCTATTTGTGAAAAAAAACGTTAGATTAATTAGCTGCGAAGTACTTGGTAGCCTTGTCCGCCTAAATGAATTATAAATAAACATAAAAACTAGTAGGCTATTTGCAGTATATTAAATTGTTTTTGACCTAATTATTTTGCACTGAAATGACACTTGAGTCTGTCGGCTCTGACAGCGTTGCATCACGTGCAACTGTGCAATATTATAGCCTATGATTTAAAAAAAAAAGTACAACTAATGATATCAGCACAAGAACCGTTGAGGAATATGCGACATAATTTAGACAATTGTTTTTGTCATATGTTATAATCCATGTTGGGGAAGTTACTTTTAAAAAGTAGTGTTACTCGTTACTTCTTAAAAAAAGTAATCCATTACTTTACTTAGTTACCCCATCTGGAAAGTAACTTATTACGTTACTTGTTACTTTTACGTTACTTTTATGTTGCTTGACTTTGGGCAGAACCCAATATCTGTTCCTAAATGCAGGGCTTAAAGTATTCCGGCACCGTGACGGATCTCCGGCGTGCGGCCGTGAGGAAAAAATGATTATTTTCGCATGCGATTCATTTTTGTCCAGCTTTAACTGTTAAAATATTTAACGCAAAAACGCAGCATCCGTTCTTTCTGTCATCCTTTATCTAGGGCTATATGACCATGTTCTTGTTCACGCAAATGCTTTAAACCACTCATGCGCGACAAGACAAAAGAGAACGCGCTGTCAGTGAATGTCCTCCTGACACACGCGCGCACACACACACGGCGCACAGAAAGGCGCGCGCCAGTATCGAGTTCTCTTTCACGCTTGAACGAACAATAACACACACATTTATGCCAAAATGTCAGTTTTGTCGAGTAACCTCACAAGAACAGTCTTAAATGCGTTAAATAAAATCTTAAATGGAAGTAAATAGTAGTGAGAGAATGAGATGCATGAGATCCTGTCAGCAGCGACAGATCTTAAAGTGACAGGAGCCATTAATTATGTATGTCAGTAAAGTTAACCTAAAGAACAAAGGGAACAGAGAAAATTACTAACTGCTCTTGACTAAAGAACGCTTGTAGCTTTGATAAGGATTAATCTATATTTCATTTATAATTTATGCAGTGCAGACTGTTTTATAACCTTATTCAGTTTCTGTACGGTACAGGTAAATGACATTTATTATGGGTTTAATGAGGATCGTCTTAAGTTCACTTAAATTAAAGGTTTTTTATATTTTTTGAAGCCTAATGTTTAAATTTTGGGGGAAAATCATTTTCATCGAGACATCAGTAGCTATAATTTAGTGATACTGGCTTTCATTCATAAAAAGATGGCATTAAGATACAGCTTTAATACTTAATAAATGGTGCCATTGAAGATAAGTCCGTCTGCCAATCCCCCCCCCCCCCCCAAAAAAAAGTTCAGGCTCAGGAATTTTTTTCACTTTAACCCCTGTAAATGTGTATGCCTACATAAAGTATGGCATTGGGTTGGGCTAATCCAAAAAAGTGAAAACAAGGGGGGTGCTCTGAAAACACCCCCATTAGCAATTAGTGCTTTCCACCTGATGAAATTAACACGGCAAAAAATCGACCAATCAGAATTTTGGTAGAGCCTGAACGTATCGACCAATAAATTGACTAGTCGACTGGGAGATTACAGCCCTACTGTCGACCACTAATACACAGTCCTTCACTGAGGTTACTAAGCATTCACAGGGTCACAAAGAACAACAGCTTTTATGCCTTTGTTTAGCCCAGGCCCTTTTGTTTGTTCTTATGTGAATCACATCTAGATCCATTTCACATTGACCTTTTCACATAAAATCTGCTTTCCTAACATAATCCACAAATCGGATTTTAGTTGAAATGCTATCTTTTTTCATGAGAAACTTGCAATCCATGATTATATAATGATTCTCCCAAATATTTCATTGATATGTTACATGGACATGTATAACACATAAACATTACTCAACATTATCTCTAAAGCCATGTAGAAACCTGTTTGGACATCTGCTAAAGGCTTTCAAAGCAGCTCTCTTCGTCTTACTATTTCTCTGTAGAGATACGGCACACAATTAAACATTTTGAAGTGTGTGTTCTGTGGTGTTTTTAACATGGCTTGTGGTAATTGGGATGCTTGCAAGTGTGTGAGAGGTAAGCATGCCTTAAGCCTGTGTGCATGCATGGTCAATTGTGCAGGTGTGTATCTGTATGTGGCTCTTTTATGGTCATTTTTGAGTCACACTATGAGGCAATTCCTCTGTCTCTTCCTCTCTCATTCTCATTTTCCCTCTCTGTCTGTCTCTGTCTCTAATTTGAATTCCATGTTCCTCTCCCCTAAGTAGAGTGTGAAATGGTATGTCAGTGTTGTAGCCTGAAGCACATGTTGAAGCCTGAAGCACATATATATTCTCATTAAACAAGTCTCTGCTAAAATCACCACTGCTTCGATTCACACTAATCTGTACTCCTGCAGTGGCCTGAAAGTATTTGGACACATAAATCACACTTAAAAATGTATGGTTGTCATTGCATTACATCACAAAATATCAAACCAATTGGCATATGTTTTAATGAAATGTAGTACACTTTTCAAAAGAAATAAAAAAAAAACATTTCACAATTTTTAAAAAAAGATTTTTTGATGTTATTTGAAAGAAGTCTTATGCTCCACAAAGGCTGCATTTTATTTCTTCACAAATAAAAACAATAATATTGTTAACTATTATAACTAATTAAAATAATGGTTTATATATATATATATATATTTTAAAATATAATGTATTCCTATGAAATAGAAATGTTTTGTAATATTATAAATGTCTTTACTGTCACTTTTGAACAATTTGATGCATCCTTACTGAATAAAAGTAAGAAAAATCATACTGACCCCAAACTATTGAACTGTAGTGTTTAAAATGGATATAAAATAGAGTAGAGGTTTCCACCGGCTTTAAACTGTAGCCCGAACCCGATCCGTACCCGAGATCATTTAACCCATTATCATTTAACTCCGAAGCAAAAGAGAAAAAGCACATGCTTACCCATTTTGACACTTTTCTGGGTGAACATTCATTCCTCTGGAACTCAAACTTCAAAACAAAGTTTGCGCACAGTTTTTTTTCTTTAAAACTATTTTACGCATGTGCTCTTGTTCTCGCGTAGTCTTCCGGTCACAACACGGCAGACACCTCGCAAATCTATAGTTTTTGTTTAGTTCAGAACCCGAAGCTATTTATAAAACATACACCACAAAACCTTGAAAAACCCGCCGGGCTCGTGTCGGGTAGCAGAACTTTTACATTAGAAAACATTCTACATTAGCAGAAAATTACATATTTTACATATTTACAAATGACATACTGTGAAAAAAATTTCTTCGTGCCTTAAAGTAGCTTGAATGTAACTCTACACCCTTGCTTCATTTAGTATAAGCAGATGCATGAATATGCTAATTATCCCCGCCTCCACTCACTCACACCAGCTCAGAGATCCACTCGCTCAAGTTACTCAAGTTACTGTAGTAAATGCTGCACAATGGTATTACTCTTTGCCACGGTGGACACATAACTGTAATTAATATGATTTGATTTTGTTCCCGTTTGCCATCTCAGTCTGCCTTCTAAAAAATCAGCCTAGAAACACTTTGAACATCATAGAACGTCAGTGGAGAAAGGCCTATAGTTCATCATAACATCGTAATATACATCATATACATAATGCACCCGCAATACTTCATACCAGCAGAAAAATATACAAAGATAGCTGGCTTCTCTTGAGACTCCCCTGCTTCACAGAATAGTTAATGATGCTAATGCCCGCCTGCACATTGACATGATTGGTTCAAGGTAGTTTGTGACGTAAGAAACAGCATTGATTTCACACCGCGTTTTTGAGACTGTCTTTGGTTCACTGCAGTTTTGATGAGAAAATACTCAGTCAGCAATGGTGCACATGGTTTGTCTTAAAGCAACACCAAGTAACGTTTCCTCTGCGGTCGCCCTACAGGTTGGAAGCGGAATTGTCCATTACCGCTGTCGTAAATAATTTAGCCTACCGCAGCCTACTGATTTTTTACTTTTACCACAATTAAATCAAATAAATTGTATTTATTTATTTACCTTTATTTTAACAGGAAGTCTCATTGAGATTAAAATCTATTTTACAAGAGAGACCTGGCCAAGGTATCAGCCAGACAATAAGACAACATTTTTAAATACAAGTACACAATAGAACAGAAATATTAGAACATGTATCCTCTCAACAAAAACAATCACAAGCCTCCATTATCCCTAAATTCTTTTTATGATGCCTTTAAATTCACCAATAGACAAATTTGTCTAGTTTTAGATATTTTTGCTAATTATTCCATGCCCAGCCCAGGATGGAGGAGGCTGCATGCATGTATAATATGTCACCATAGTCAATCACAGTTTCTACAAGTTTCTTTTTGGTATTAAAAGTAAAATTTGAGTTTCCTGATTAGATTAGCAATATAGGCAATTAGCAAAAAGTTTATCGTCTATCCAAATGCCCAAGTACTTGTAAGATGGTTCCCTTTCAATAGTTTTACCATCAGATGTAGAAATGCTAAGGTTATCAAGTACTTATGAATGTGAATTTTTTTGTGAACTTTTTTCTGTGAATATAAAAGCAATTTTAAGCTCACCAGAGCACTTTGCAATGACTGTTAGACCAATTAATTCATGATTTGTTTGATGTAGTTTGATTAGTGCACATGAACAGGTTTGTATTTATATGGCGATTCACTGGGGTTGCACCCTTTTATATTGTTGTCGATTGTTTCAAAGGCACACAGAGTTAAAATGGGGATTGTGCTGAGTAATATATTGTTAAAAGATGCACACTGCAAGATCCGATCAGCACTTCCTGTTTCTCTGACTGGAAGCTGTCAGCTCCTCAGCAGGAAATTACATGGCAACAATGAGAGCAAGTTAAAAAACAAGTTTTTTAACTTGCTAACTTAACAAAGTAAGCAAGTTAAAAAAAAAATACTGAATTGCCTGCAGCAGCAGCCCCGGTGTTATGAAATTACATTGTGGTCATTCTGTTCCAGTTTTATTTGTTTGTTCTTTTCTTGATAAGGAAGTCACATCTAATATTTTTATCATCCACAGGGGAAGAAGTGTGCACTTATGTTTTTAATGCTCTCTAAAGTTGTGAAGTCAGTGATCCTATCTATGGTAACAGGATAGCATTTGCCCATAAATCAAAGCAGTGTTTCCTGTACTTTATTCAGTGGCTGTGCTGCAAAATAAATGATATTTTAGCCGAGTTGTGAGTTTGGAGTCTGAATTGGATGTATTATTATAAAGGACCCAGTCTCTCTCGTCACAAAGACAACACAAGTTTCCTGGCTGCACGCAGAAAGCAAACATACAGTGTGACAAGTGTTTTATGAACAAATGATTTCAGTTCTAAATAAAAAAGTTTCGTCTGAATGAACATACGGCACTTGCTGACTTGATGTTCATATGGCAATGAATTTTGATTCAGTAAATGGTATTTTAATTAGAACAGTACCTAAAGTATTATTGTATTTTAATGTGTAGCCAGCCATTCATTATAGCAAAATAAACTTAAAAGGGTGAACAGAGAAAATAAGCAACAACACAACGTTCTCTCTCATCTCATTCAATATCCTGGATGAATAAATGCTTGCTGTATCTAAAACTATGAAGTTATGATCTCATCTGTTACACTACAGAGGAAAACTGGAGGCGGGTCAAATAATATAGTGGTTGCACAGAGATCTTGTCTCACAGAGAAAATATGTGCATGGTTATCTGGTGAAACCCAAAACACACACACACACACACTGATTTGAATTTCAAACATGTTGTTTACTCTGTAAAAAAGCCTCAGCTCTGACATCATTTGGTCAGCATCCCAGGAAGAGCTATCATTAACGGCTTTGAGCGCACATGCATATATTTACTCTTTGAAAGGAGATTTTCACTCTCCATCATTTTTATCTACACATACACATTAATTTATTAATGTATGTCTGTCTGTTGCAGATTGGGCGCTCTCAGATCTTTCTTGTAAGTCCCGACACTAAGAAAGTGGCCATAGAGAAGAGCTTCAAAGAGATTTCCTTCTGTTCTCAGGTCTGTTTCATCATGTTGATGCTAAGCTGTTGTTGTGGCCAGTTAATTATCTTATGCCTACATAATGACTTTTAGTTAAATAGAGATCTGATCAACAATCGGCATGATTGAGCAAGACCTCAAGCAAGCTGAATTCCTAGTGTAATTAACATAGCTGTAAAGAAATCATCCCTTTGTCTTTGCACTTGTCTAAACCTGTTTTCTAAATATTATTATCCATATGCTGCATCATAGTATCTAAACAAGTATTTGACAAGTATACAAGTATTGTTAAAAGTATTTATATACTTATTTTGGGGTCAGTCATTGAAGTAATTGATAATAAATAAGAAATGTTTATTGACCAGCAAATCAGCATATTAGAATGATTTCTAAAGGATCATTTGACAAGAAATGGCTGAAAATTCAGATTTGCCATCACAGGAATAATTACATTTGAAAATATATTAGGAAACAGAAATTTTAATTTTAATAATATTTTACAATATTACTGTTATTGTATTTTTGATCAAATAAATGCAGTTCTTTCAACAACATAAAAAAAATCTTACTGACCCCAAATCTTTGAACGGTAGTGTAGTTGTCTAGGTGACCCTTTACATGTGGCTCCTTGGCTCTTTTTCCCCCTCATGAATTTCTTTTTCTTTTTTTAGGGTATTCGTCACGTGGACCACTTTGGCTTCATATGCAGGGAGTCGGTGGAATGCGGAGGCTGCCAGTTTGTTTGCTATGTTTTCCAGTGTGCTAACGAAGCTCTGGTGAGAATCATGGATGAATAGATGGCGGGATGAAAACATTGTTTCCATCTGATGAACGTATTCAGAATAGTTCCTTTAGAGAGGACAGAATAATTAGGATATTTGATAATGGTCTTTTTCAGTCAAGTGAGGTTGAAAATACAAAGTGCTATGAAACATCAGAAGGAAACTATAAGTATGTTGGAGATTATTTTGCACGGATTGTTTTTAAATTGAAGGCTGTCTACTCGCCTATCGCTATCTTTCTAACATCGGCTGATTGTTGGTTATCTTCCGTTGGACTTTACCTGGACTTCCCTGTCGTTCAGTGCTGCTACTGCGAGGCATATTCCTGGGGCAGCCACTCAGCTGTCCTGATGCAGTTTGGCCTTGAGCCTAGGACCGCTTCCTCTGTCAGCTGCTTCCAGCTAGTCCTCCATGACTCATGCACCTCACTGCTATGTTATGGACCATTTTCTAGCTGTGCCTGATAACTTTCCATCTATGTTTGGCCAACGGCTAGCTCCAGGCTAAACCTTTTGGCTACCGGCATGAAGCTCAAGTATTCCATCTCGCAGCTGCTGAATCTTAACAACCGCACCATTGCTGCCATTAAAGAACATGGACTTCTGAGCCGACCGCGATATATCCACAGAAGTTCCCGTGGAAAGTTTATTTACCATCAGCCTGGCCGCTCTGCTTCAGCCATTCCATCCATCTGGACCACTGTTGCACGTCTGCCGCGTCATCAGAGCAGTGTCGGTGAGACACTGTTCTCTTAACCCCAGTTCTCGGTGTTAGTAACACGGGAAACACCGCGAGATCTCTGCACGCTCTGCTGGACAGCACGGGAAACATCGCAAGATCTCTGCACACCAAGCAGGACAGAAAACGTGGAGTGGAATCCAGTGTATTATGGCCTTTAAATGGATTCACTATCTCATCAACGCTTAGAACTATTTTATACACAATCCCTCACAAATAAATCATCTTTTATACAAGATCACATCATAGACGAGGGATTAGACCTTATGTGCTTAACAGAAACATGGCACCAGCCAGGTGTTTATTCAGCATTAAATGAAGCCTGTCCCCCTGATTATAGCTATCTTGAGAAAGCTTGCAGTACTGGTCATGGTGGCAGCTTAGCTGTAATACACCAGCAGAAATTCGAGCTGTCCCCCCTCTCTCTGCCTACACTGTCCTCATTTGAATGCCTTGCATTTAAATGTAAACCCCCTTTTCGCATGACAATACTTCTTATCTACCGGCCCCCCAAACCATACTCAGTTTTTATTTCAGAGATGCATGATTTTCTCACAACACTGTGCACCACTTCAGCCAACATTATAATAATTTGAGATTATAATATTCATGTAGACACCCCCTCTTGTCATTTTGCAGCTGACTGTCTTAACCTCCTACAACATGTTGATGTCCCCACACATTCCAGGGGGCATACTCTTGACCAGGTAATTTCAAACTCCACCCCCATTTGCAACTTTCCTGTGTATGATCTGGGTGTGTCTGACCACAACTGCCACTCCCCCTTTCTTCACACCAAAAACAATCGTCGAATCTGCTAAAGGGACCTGAAAAACATTAACCTTGACACCTTGACCATAGACCTCCAGCATCTCTCCGCTGCTGATTGCTCTTCAGTCACTGAGTCGGTTGACTTCTACAATTGATCTCTGAGCAGTCTTCTAGATCTCCACACCCCTGTCAGAACTAGAACTGTCACCTTCTCGCGCTCAGTCCCTTACACCTGTGAACTGCGGAAGATGGGCTACAGCTGGGCGTGTCCTTGAGTCTTAGACAAGCTTATAGAGAACATCAGAAGGCCTATGCAAAGTCCTTGAGAGATGCACGATCACAGTTCTACTCTAATATCATCAATAATAACCATGGAAATTCCAAACAACTTTTCTCCACTATAAATTGCATCCTTAAACCGCAAACCTTTTATTCAGAAGCCCACAGAAGAGAGGTGCAATAATTGTATCACTTTTTTCAGACAAAAAGTAGACACCATTCGCTCTCTCCTTTCGTGCTCCTCTGCCTTACCTGTCCCGACTGTTGATCCACATCCTTGGACCTTCCAACCATTCTGTTGTTTTTCTGACATCTCACAACGAGAGGTTGAGGACCTCATCAGAAAGATGAAACGGTCCACCTGTGCCCTGGACCCTTTTCCCACAGCCTTGGTCAAATCTAACCTCTGTGTCATAAGTCCCATGATTTCTAAGGTCATCAACCTCTCCCTCCAGACTGGCCATGTTCCAGCTACACTGAAAACTGCTGTCATCAGACCACTTCTCAAAAAACCCACCTTAGACCTAGACGTTTTTGCCAACTACAGGCCCATCTCCAACCTTCCTTTCATTTCCAAAGTACTGGAAAAATGAGTTGCTGCACAGCTTCAGGTCCATTTAAAACAAAACAATTTGTTTGAGATATTCCAGTCTGGTGTCCGTTTTGGCCACAGCACGGAAACAGCTCTGGTCAGAAAAGACCTGCTGATGACAGCAGACGCTGGCTCCCCATCTCTTCCCATCCTTCTGGACTTGACTGCAGCATTTGACACTGTGGATCATAACTTTCTCCTCCATCGTCTACACTCCACTATCGGTCTATCTAACTCTGTTTAGAACTGATTTTCATCCTACCTTACTGGGAGAACTGAGCATGTTGCCTTGGGAGAGGCTAAATCCTTGACACACAACGTTACCTGTGGTGTCGCTCGGTGTTCGGCCCCACCCTGTTCATCCTCTATATGCTCCCCCTCGGCAGTGTCATCAGCCGGCATGGAATTTAATTTCACTGCTATGCTGATGACACTCAACTCTATCTCAGGACAAATTCAACCCCCTCCGCTCCATCATCCACTGTGACCACCTGCCTGGAGGAGATAAAGGCGTGGAGGAAGCAAAATTATATGCTCAAAGACAGAAGCTATTCTAGTCAGTACCCCACATTAGGTCCGGACATCTCACATTACCAGCAGTAATTTCCCTGGCCAGGATATTCTACTTTTAACATCTCACTTTTTAACAGTCACCAACCTGGGTGTTAAAATGGATTCTCATCTGAACTTTGATGTACATCTGAGTAAGACCTCCTTATTCCACCAAACTTACACTTACTCTTGCATTTGCGGAAAAGGTCGTCCTTTGTCTCCTCTAGACTGGACTACTGCAATGCGCTCCTCATCGGGATCCCTGACAAAAGCCTTAAGAAGCTGCAGTAGATTCAGAACAGCACTGCTAGGATCCTGATGAGGGTGCTCAAATACGACCATATCACCCCCATCCTCAAATCACTTCACTGGCTTCCTGTCTCACTCAGGATTGAGTACAAGGTGTCCCTCCTCACACACCAGTGCATTTATGGTGAGCCCCCCCATAAGTAGGTATTTTTACTTTTTATTTATGTATTTATGTATTTATTTATGTATTTATTTATTTATGTTATTATGTATTTATGGTGAGCCCCCCCCCCCCCACCCCCTTACCTTAAGGAACTCCTCATCCCACAAACATCTACACGTGTCCTCTGTTCTGTTTCAGCATATCTTCTGAAACCCCCCAGGACCAAGCTCCGTACTATGGGAGATTGGGCTTTCTTCCCAGCCGCTGTGGATGCTTTTAAATGCGGCCTTAAAACTAACCTTTTTAGAATGGCTTTTGGTTGATTTTTAATTTTGGTTGGTTGTTTTTAAATTGTTGCACTTTGGGATTTTGCTTTAATATAAAGTGCGTTACAAATAGAATGTATTCCTATTATTATGTTAGTGTTATGTGTATTATAGTATTATAATACTATAATATTCCTATTATAGTGTTATGTTAGTGTTATAGCACAGAGAACAATGCTAATTTACAGCCAAATGGAAATGACATGTTGCAAATGTCAATTCCTTCATGAGATTTATAACTATAAATAGTCAGAATATTTCCACAGGATGCAGGTATTGTTTTTTAAACTGTTTCCAAACGGTCAAGTTAGATGCTCAGAGCTGCTCTGTGTGAATGTCACTCTTTCATGTTCAGGTGGATGAGATCATGTTAACTTTGAAGCAGGCGTTCTCTGTGGCTGCCCTTCAACAGAACAGTAGGACCCAGAGTCAGCAGTGTGACAGCTGTCCCCTGCAGCAGCTGCACAAACTGTGTGACAGAATAGAGGGTGAGATGTCTACTTTTCGTCATATCACTCAAGTCTATCATGTTTTATCGGCGTATCAGCCCATTTCTCTTTCTTTTTGTATCTCTTCATGTTTTCCACCTAGGGTGATGAAAGGGATAGTTCATCCAAACAGTAAAATTCTACCAGCACTTCTTTTTTTCCCCCTTGGATCATAAAAAGAGATATTTTGAAAGAATGTCTCCATTTCTTTTTTCCATATATTGAAAACACACTATTGTTCAAAGGTTTGGGGTTGATAAGATTTTTTAAATGTTTTTGAAAAGTCTTTTATGCTCACCAAGGCTGCATTAATGTGATCAAAAATACAGTTAAAACAGTAATATTTTAAATTATGACTTAAAATTAACTGGTTTCTATTGAATATATTTTTAAATTAAATTTGTTCCTGTGATGAAAAGCTGAATTTTCAGCATTATTACTCCAGTCTTCAGTGTCACATGATCCTGAAGAAATCATTTTAATATGCTGATTTGCTGCTCAATTATCTTATTATCAGTTTTCATAACAGTTGTGCTGCTTAATATTTTGTGGAAATGGTGATTTCTTTTATGAATAGAAGAAAGTTCAGAAGAACAGCATTTATTTGTAATAGATTTATTTTTTGCAACAATGTGTAGGTCTTTACTGTCACTTTTGATCAATTGATTGTGTCCTTGCTGAATTTCTTTCAATTAAAAAAAAATCATACAAATCTGTATATAGTATCTTTATAGTACTACTTATGAGTTTCTTTTGCACTTGGTCACTACTATATGCTTTCATTGTATGGAAAAAGCAGTCAGATATTTTTTTAAAATACAGTATTCCCTTTTGTGCTCCATTTGAAGAAAGAAAATCATACCGTTTTGGAATTAAATTTGGATTAATTATGACTGAATTTTTTTTACGTTTATGTGAATTATTCATTATAAACACCCCAACTTAACCATAATGATGGCAGAATTGATGCATTGTTTATTCAGAACATGAATTAGGAGGTTACAACAGATTTTTAGTTCCCAGATTTCATTTCAGAGTTCTGCGGGCTGCAACAGTGCATACTTTGTGCTTGGCATGACACTGTATTTATGTGCAGGTCTACATCCATCCAAAGCTAAGCTGGAACTGCAGAAGCATTTGGCAGGTCTGGATAATCAGGAGCAGGCAGCTGTGTTTGAGAGCACCATGGTGAGTTATTTCAATTTTAAAACCGCTATAACACATTACACAAATACGCTTTAGCTCCCCAGTTCCCTGGATTACCAGTGTGTGCCAAATCCTTTAAGTGTGGCATTCAAGGAATGTGTGCTTTTCTGTTCAGAGGGTGTGACTGGTATAAATTAAACCAGTTTGTCCACTAGTCTAACATCCTGAAACCATAGTCAACCTGAACGACTGAACATTTATCAACCTGATGAATGGACCGATATCCTCAGAGCGTCAAGTGTTTTTCTTTTTTACTTGATAATTGTTTTTAATTTAATATCAGCTTTAAGGGTGCAACAAACAGAAAGTTGTCTTTACAATATTGATTATAATATAATTGATTTAAATATGCCCCCGTTTACACATAACTTTTATATGTCTTTAAAAGTTTTGATAACCTTAAAATGCTCAGACTAGTTGAAATTTGTGCTTTTGTGTAATAAATAGTGTAATAAATGAGTAATTTTGCTGAGTAAATTCCTTCTGCTCTCTGTTGGTCACATTTCCCACTAACCGTGAGTGTGTTTTGTAAGATTGCTGATGCCACCTTGTGGAAGTTTGGAGAAATAAAACCTTTGTTTGTGTGTTTGAACAGAAAGCCAGGCCTAAGTCAGATCAGGAAGAGAATGAGTTGGTTGTGTCATGTCTTAGACGACTGTATGAGGACAGACAAAAGACACACACACACAACAGACAAACAAAAAAGGTACACCACCATTTAATTATTTAAAATCCTTATGGACATATGAATGTTTCCATTATGTTAGTCTGTTACAAACTTGAATATTACAGCTGGGATCTTGGAGTATTGGTTGTGGATGCCTGTTCGTATACAATACTGTGTATACATGAATGTGTTTGACTTCTCAGGAGGTTGCTGTGAATGCTGAAAGCAGCACGAGTTCCAGTCGTGTGCGTCTGGAGGAGTTCAAGACTAGAGCAAAAAGGTCCCTCACCGAATCACTGGAGGGGATCTGGAAGGTATGTAAACATTTTATGTATTTGGAACATTTTGGCCCTCTCTACATTTTTTGTGCATCTAACATTCAAAGAATGCAGGCCTTGTATGTGTAGCACGATATGTGCTGCAGGGTCAATAGGTCCAAATGAACAAAAATAACTTAACTATGATATGGTTTATCTATATACATATAATTTATGGAAGATTTTATGTCTCCATGTAATAGGGCAGCAGTAAGTCCAAATCCCAGAGGGAGAACAGTGAAGGAGAGAGCAACTCCTCCAGCTCCACCACACTGAACGGCACATATCAGGTCTGCACAACACTCGCATCATCAATATATTTTCTGTCACATTGTCATTTAGGACTGGATAATATTTTGAATATTCACAATCAATTTGGGATGATTTTGTTGAGGATGTAAAATAAGCAAAATATTCTAATATTTGCTTTTTTACTTTGCAAAAGAGCAGAAATAGATCAAATTTGCAATCCTTGTTTCATGACTTGCATCTATGAAAAAACTACAGTAAAACATTAACATTGTGAAATATTTTTACAATTTTAAATAACTTTTCTATTTTAATATATTTTAAAATGTTATTTATTAATGTGATGAAAAAGCTGAATTTTCAGCATCATAACTCCAGTCTTTAGTGAGTGCGTTTACATGCACGTTCTAAACCCATTATGCTTAAAGGTGCTGTATGTAACTTTTTCACTCTACTAAAGCATAAATATACCATGTTTGCATATATTGAGGAAACATGCTCATGCTTCACATACTCTTTTCTCTGAAAAACACTTCTACAGCCAGTTATTTTACTTTGAAATGTGCGTTTCCAGGCTGGAATGTTTGTTATTGTTTTGGTCTGTGATACTGCACGTTGCCAATTTCCATTGTCCATTGCGCTCGTTCCTGTTGCATGTGCACAATCTGGAAACCCGTGTGAGCGCCGTCCAGTCTGAGGAGCAGGTGGCGATCTCCGAAATCTTGAATTCGACTGCAGTACCTATTTCGACCACTAGTTGTCATTCTTACATACTGCACCTTTAAAAAGCCAACAATGCATGTGATCATGTAAACATGTTAACCCGTTTTCCTTTATAAACCGATAGTCACAGCTAGATTTTTGCCGATTTCGCCCAGCATGTAAACACATTAACCTGCTTTCTGTCTTCTTATTGAAGTGCACATGTGTGATATGTGACAGGACATGAACGCGTCCTTACTGTGGATTTAAGCACATCCAGACAGAACAAGCGTTTTGCAGTAAGGGAGAAAGAAATATATTTCAAACTCAGATTTTTTCTTGACCCAAAAAATTATAAAAGTGCTCTCATCTCATGCAGGTGAAGAAGTGGTTCAGTCAAAATGCTGCATCTGTAACTGCATGAGAGGATAATATATGAGCCGCTGACATGTTGTGATACTCTTCTTCGGTTTTTAACACTAGAACGGCCACGACGGTCATTTTGACCATTTTGAATTTTATATCTGCAATAACTTTGTTGAAAAAATAAATAAAATCCTGCTGGTACCTGACTTTTCCTAAAAGTGTCTGTATTTTCATTTAAAATGTTTTTAATATAAATTACACATAAAGCAAAAAAACAAATGTACATATTTACCTATTTCGGCCATAGACGGCCATAATGACCGCACTGAATTTCGCGGTATTCTTGTTACATTTCTCGCGGTTGACCGTTGTCTGTTAGGAACTATGGTTAGGAAATAATCAGAAGATTCAATTGCAAAATGACAGATATGTTTATTGAGAGCTGGTCTGATGGTAGAGTTAAGGTGTAGGCTACAAATGTCTGGTATGAAGCCCTTGGCAGCACAGGGACGCTGCGTGAAGAACCAGGAGTGCTGAACACGGGATGACAGAAAACGGATACAGGCAGGGAACAAACACGCAGGAAAAATCCACAACGGTCTGACAGACAAAGCCTAGGCGACAACAGTAACACTAAAACGGGTCGAATCGCTGATCAGTTGCAGCTGGCGCGTTGATCAGAGCGGGCGTGCTTATCAGCTGCAATAATGAGTGATCACGCACACACACACACACACACACACACACACACACACACACACACACACACACACACACAAGACGCGAAAGGAGACAGCGAATTCATAAACCGTGACTCTCACTGTCAAAAGAATATCTAAATAAGATACTTTTAGTTGTTATTATCTTGTTCTGAGTTATGTTGAATGGATATGGAAATATAGCTATCTGTTGTGAATATGCGATAATTACGGGCTACTGATATTATTATTTATAAATGTATAATTAAACTTTTTTAAATGTACAGTTTGGTGTTATTTTGTTTTTAAAAGATATCATAATACAATAAATGCATTAATCTCTCAATTGGGTATTTATCATTAAAGATATAGAGTTTGCAATCTAACGGTCAAAATGACCGCTTGTGGCATTTCTAGTAGTTATGGAATTCTGGCACTTCTAGTGTTAACGTACATGTCTTTATTTAACATCACAACCGACATAACAAATGAAATACTCAGGGTCAGATATGCATATTATGACGGTTTGACATCACTGCCGGGAAAGTTCCTGATTTATTTATAAAGTCATGTAAAAGTGGTTTACTTGCGTTGTCGGCTTATTGGTTTGCATGTAAACCCGGATTACAGGTTTTAAATAAGGATTTTTTAATAAGCAGATTTTTGTGAGTTATTAGCGTACCGTACTGGTGAGCATGTAAACATGCTCAGTGTCACATGATCCTTCAGAAATCATTCTAATATGCTGATTTGGTGCTCAAGAAACCTTTTTTATTGTCAATGTTGTGGTGCTTAATATTTTTGTGGTAACTTTAAAAAAAATTCTGGATTCTTTGCTGAATAGAAAGTTAAAAAGAACAGCATTATTTGAAGTAGAAAACTTTTGTAACATAATAAATAGCTTTACTTTCATTTTTGATAAATTTAATGAATCTTTTCTGAATGAAATAATTTCTTAATAATTAGTAAAATTATTGTGAATGGTAGTGCAAAATGTGTAGGATAAAATGACCTTTTAGTCTTTTATTCAGATTATTTTATGGTCAGCACCTTATTAGTCCATACTTTAAGGGATAGTTAACCCAAAAACATAAATTCTGTCATAATTTACTCACCCTCGTGTTGTTCCATACCTGTATGACTTAAGTTCTTCTGTGGAATACAAGAGAAGGTAATTTGAAGTATGTTGATAACTTAACAGTTTTGTTTCCCATTGACCTCCATTGCATAGACAAAAATAACTTTTTTTGTGTCCAGCAGAACAAAAAAAAAATGCATTCAGTTTTGAGGGTGAGTAAATTATGACAGAATTTTCATTTTTAGGTGGACTATCCCTTCATCTGTGGTAATCTCTAGGAACTTAATGCTTTTATATAATGGTATCAACAGCAATATGATTTATAAGTGCTAATAATCACAATAAGTATTGTTAATTATTAGCGTAACTGTTAGCTATTTACTGTTTTACAACTTTGTATTTCGGTGATTTTAGAGCTAGAACTATCTGTCATATAAGATGTCTTTTCCTCTAACAGTTATAATCACTTACATGAACTTACTGCCTTTAAAAATCGTCTTTACAAGCTTTTTTGTTTCAAGAATGATTTATTCCATCAGAGTTGTTGACATTTTCTATTTTGTTTTTTAAGGAAACATCACTGGAGGAGCCCCTCTGCTCTCTCCTAACCTCCAGCCCACTCCGCTCTCACAATTCCACAGGGGATCTGAAGCATCTAGAAGGCTCAGCGAGAGGTCAGGAGGATCCTGAGAGCCCGCCTCAGGGTTTCAGGAGACGCGCAAGCACGATTAGTCACTCTCCCATGCTGTCGTCCTCTGAGCCAAGTCTCCCCCCTCTACAACCAACTGCCGCCACCAAGCCCAAACTGGTCCGACACTACTCCGTCAGCACAGACTCCCCACACCAGAGCAAGTGAGACAGTGTGTGTGTGTGTGAGCTAGATGATTGTTTTGTTTATTGTACATATGTTTAGTTTGTGTCTGTGGAATGATATTTAAGAAAAATGCGATTATGAGATAACTTGTTAAAAAATGCAATATTCGATATGCTATACAATAATCATGAGTAAAGTAAATTAATATTAAAACATATTTAAAAACTGATAATTATATAACCAACATAGTACAGTTTTCCAAACAGCCTTTTTTCAGCCAAAGCCTTCATGTAGTCTTGATCAGCTGATACTGTGTGTTTTTTTTTAAGCTTTAACTTTTAAAGGGATACTCCACTTTTTTTGGAAATAGGCTCATTTTACAGCTCCCCCAGAGTTAAACTGTTGAGTTTTTACCGTTTTTGAATCCATTCAGCCGATCTCCGGTTCTGGCGGTACCACTTTTAGCATAGCTTTGCATACATCATTGAAGTGGACAAGACCATTAGCATTTCTCAAAAAAAAATGACCAAAGAGTTTTGATATTTTTCCTATTTAAAACTTTACATCGTGCACTAAGACCGACGGAAAATGTAAAGTTGCGATTTTCTAGGCTGATATGGCTTGGAACTATACTCTCATTCCTGCGTAATGATCAAGAAACTTTACTGCCGTACCATGAGTGCAGCAGGCGTAATGATATGACGCAGCGCCTGAAAATAGGCCACCTTCCTTCAACACAACGGAACTATTTTCAGGCGCTGCGTCATATCATTACGCCTGCTGCTCTCATGGTACGGCAGTAAAGTTTCTTGATTATTACTAGAATATGGTCATTCAGAATAAGGCATTAATATGTGCTTTATAAGTACTAATAAACAGCCAATATCCTAGTAAAAGGCATGCTAATAAGCAACTAGTTACTAGTGAGAATTGGATCCAAAACAAAAGTGTTACTCTATCTCTTCAGCAAGCCTACGCACAAACTGCCGCAAATGAAAATGAAAGTTCAGCGTTGTCCTGGAGCTCAACAAACAATCGTCTTCATTAACAGTAGTGAGACTAAATGATCTTACCAGTGCTGATGCAGCTTTCTCTCGTATTGCGGTGTTTGATCTTGAAATTAGCTGATGATAAATAAATCCCAGCCCATATCTGTTGCTTTCGTTGACGTGAACTCGCATCGTCGAATTTCGCATATAATGCTGGAATTGAAGATCGGATTTATGTTTGTTGTGCGGAGACACATTTATGTGGTCAAGTGTAAATGTAAGAGATTTAACAAAACGGATGGCTATTCGATCAGTAAAAATGCATGATGACCAAGTGTAAATGGGCCTAATAAATAAATAAAAAAACATTGCAAACCGTAAGTGTGATCTATATTATGATATTTTTCCATATGAAGCATAGACTTTATCCCAGCCAACTTTATTTAAGTTGTGTTTTCTAGTTGTACATCCAATCTGTGACATAATTCAAACAGAATTAAAAGTTGAATATTTGAATTTTGTACATGTACAGGTATGTACAACATTTGTTAAATTCAAAGTCTGTTTGTTTGTTTATCACAGTGGCAGACTTTTGTCAATCAATTACTGTGGGTGGTATTTTTGGAGGGGGGTGTGTGGAAGTTTCCTATTTTTACATCATCACATTTCTTAGTCTGTAATGTGAATTCAGTTCACTGTGCTCCACTTTTTTCATTCTGTGTTTCTCTGCTTTTGTATTCCTTTGCACCCTCCTTTATCTTGTCGTTCCTTTCTGTATTTTCATCAGTCCTTCCTCCCCTCCGGCTTCTTCCTCTCCCGTGTGTCAACGGCCGTTGAGGCCTCATACTTTTGCTCATGATCTTTCCACCCGGCCCCTCAAGCGGAGGTGAGGTGTGTGTGTGTCTGTGCCATCTCTTTGTTCTACTGTCATTCACAAACGCGTCAGGGTACTTTTTTTTCCCATAAAATTGTTTTATTGTCTGTCTTTCTCTGAATTTTCTGTGCTTTCTGTGTAAAAGTTTGTGTGATAGCACAATGGGGAATTTCACTTAAAATGAAATGCACTAACAGGCTGATACTGAGTGCTGGGTTGTTGAGGACGCAGGAGACTACCATGATGTGGCCTGTTAGTCCTCTCTTCTACATCAGTACTGCGGCCTCGATTAATATAAATAAATAAAACAAATAAAATACCGTCAGTTTTCTGTGGGCATTAATTGCGTCAGGAAAAAAAATGCTGTTGTTTCTAATTCTGGTGCATAGAGCAAGGTTTGCCCAAAAAAATGACATCAATTTAAATGTCTCAAAGTCAACATAATGAAAAAAAATGACCCCTTATTTATTTTATTGCACTTTCAATATTTGATCAGTTTATGTTTGTCTTTATAAACTTTCTCCAAAAGATTAGGCTTGCATCGATATAAAAATTCTGACTGATAGCGATAAGTCATTCATTATTTTCATGTTATGGCCAATAACCAATAAATGGCCAAATGTGATTCTATTTTGTCTAAACAAAAAAATAAAACACTAAAAATAAAAATCAGTAATTTTACCTACATAATTTATTATTATTATAGTGTTTAACATCCACTTTCCACAATCCAGTCAATTCCTGGTGAATAAAAACAAATCCCAGTACTGGTAATATCATTTTTAATTCAATTATTTATATAATTAAATAATTATCATTATTACAGTCATATCTTAGTATTATTTATATACTTATTTATAGTATTTATTGCTTTTTTGTATTTTGCTTTTATTTGTATTTTTTTCACTTTATCTTTTAGTAATTTAATGTGCTTTTTTATAACTATTTGTTTTTTAGCTTTCTTTTTAGCTTTAATTTATTTAAACTTATTTCAGTTAGTTGCCATGGCAGAATTTCTCATTTTTAAGTTTCTCATATGATATTAATATTTTATTTTATTTCAACTTTATTTCAATTATCGCACACAATTTTTAGTTGTAGTTAACAATAACAACAATTTTCAGCATTATTACAGAAGTGTATTATATTATAATAATTAATTAATTATTATATGAATAAACCACAGGGTTTTGCCCACTCATTAAGCACACATCATGTGAAATCACCCCAGTGTGTTCTCAATTCTGCTCCAACAAGTGCAAGCTAGAGTTTGCTTTTGTTCTGGTTTCAGTGACTCTCTGTGTCTCACTCCTTTACTCTGTGGCCTCTGTCTCTCTCTTTCTCACGCTCTATCTCTCAGTCCATCAGGGCTGAGTGGCTTTAGAGCGAGATTACACTCCTCCTCCTCTGTTCCAAATTTCCTCAAATTTCTGGCCCCTGTAGTGGAGAGTGATGATACCTGTGACTCTCAGAGGAAGAGGTATTCTGTTCTTTTTCACATTCTGCCAATCCATCCATCTTTGGTCTAGGATTGCTTTTAAACAGATTTGAAATTTTGTTTGGTCTTGTGAAATGGGCTTTCGTATCAAATTAAATATGTTGTCTACTCTGACAGAAGTCTGTGACTCCCTTTTACTGCTGTCTGTCAGTGTTTGTGTTTATTTGTGAATGGGTGCCTATGCTTATTTATTTCTGTGTGTGTGTGTAGTGACGTGGCAGCCCTGTCCAGTCCTGGTGCGGTGTGTGTCGTTGGGGATGACAGTCCATTACGTAGCCGGAGACACTCCTGGAGACAACAGATTTTCTTAAGAGTCGCCACACCACAGAAGGGCTCAGACACCAAAGGTAATATTTGCCCTACTTATGGACACCATGTAGGTTACATCAATATAAAACATCACCTATATCAACTACACAGTGACAGTGTACAGTGCATTAAGTGCCTCTACATGCTGCAGTTACTGTTGGTGTCCTCCAGGTGGCGCTCTTGCTCTTAATGACTCGGTAAAGAACTCATTGGTTGAGTTTGACAGCTAACAGCCTATTTGGACTTGATGTATCTTTTGGCAGAGAAACAGAATTACATTGGTTTATGACTCTCTTCATCCCCCCCCCCACACACACACTCAGACATGACTCTGTCAATGTCTCGCTTTTCTTCTTTTCTTGACCTGTTTTGTCTTTCTTTCTTGAACTGCCAAAACAGCACATCAAGTCTGCTATTTTGAAATTGGTAGCTCGTTACACTTGGCAGTACTTCACAGTAAATGTTGATACAGATGTCAAAACACCCCTCAGGTGTGTGTGAGTGTGAATTAGAGAAACGATCATTAATTATAAACACTGTTGCTGAACACTTTAGGCCCAAAACATTAAATGCCTGGAAGTTATGGTGATGTAAAGCACAGGTTTAACAGTTGTTACAACCCAGTGCTTTTGCTAAAAAAGGCCAAGTGTGTTATTTCTGTGCAAAATGACCCATCTGTTTGAATGGCCATCAATCAATGTAGAACTTAATTGGGATTTTTTTTGGGTGCTTTCACACCAGAGCGTTTATTTCGGAAACTGGTGCGTTTTCTCCCTTGGTTTGGTTCGTTTAGACATGTGAACAAGGCAATCATGCTCGGATCCGCAACAAAACAATCGCTCCAAAAACCGCCTGAACGAGGATTGCAAATGAACACTGGGACGGTTTGCTTGAGGTGTGAAAGCAATCCAACCCAACGGACCAATGAACCAAATAGTATTATAACTCATAACGGGAAATGTGATATATAAATAGCAGTAGTGTCTGATTCTGTGAGTGAGCACATTAGTTACCACAGTTGAAAACCAAAAAAGCACCTCTTCAGCTTAAAATGTTGTTTAATTGCCCTTCTCCGTGTGAGAATGCTGTCCCGATGAAGCCGTGAGTCCTGCTCTAGCTGCATTATAACATTCGTGTAGTAGTAGAAACAAATTTATTCTTCAGGATAAACCCCTTGAGATGCATCATCTCGTTTTCAAGGAGGTCCTAATACACAAAAATTAGATAACAGAAGACAAAACTTTTAACTAAACAAAACAACAACAATAATCACCTTATTCAAAACAACAAACACACCACTACAAAATTAACACATAAAATATATATAAATATACAGTGTAGTGTTTGCCTGTGTCTTCTTGACACAGTTAACCTCTAGACAGCGCTGGGAGATCTAGAGAGAGCGCGTTTGAATTTGCTGCAGTATTAATACAAATGTAGTATATAATTTAACAGCGGGAATGATGACTACATTCGTATAGTGTTTGCGTGTGTCTCGACAGTTACAAATAAAGCCACAATAAGTTTGTAGAGCAAACTTGTCAATCATCTTGATGGATGACGCAGAGGAAACCAATAAGAGGACAGGTGTACTTGCATGTAACTTTCGTGAACACATTTTGGTAAGTTTTGAAAGGTTGCCTTGTGAAAGTGAAACGTAACAAATTAAGTCTCTGTTTCGGAAAAAAACAAACGATCTATAGGTGTGAAAACACCCTTTAAGAAATAGCTTATCCAAGTATAAAAATTCTGTCATTTACTCTTGTCATCATTAGACTTTTGTTCATCTTCGGAACAAAAATTATTCGTAACAAAAATAAAGCTATTTTTGATATTCTCTCATAATTTTTGTCCATCTTTTAAAAGTGTATGTAATTAACAAGTAAAGTGGATATAAAAAAATCTACACACCCCTGTGAAAACAGCTGGTTTTTGTGATGTAAAAAAAATTTGTATTGCGCTTTTCACAATACATACTGTTTCAAAGCAGCTTTACAGAAAATGCATGTGTCTACATTATAATTTAGAGTGGTCTGTTATCAGAGGTGACTGTGACCAAGTAATGCATTTCAGAAATGTACATATACAAATCATGCAGTTAGCTAACTTCATGTATAAATTCTAGGCAGAAACAATGAGCTCAAATTAATTATTACAAGTTAAATAATATCAGATATGATAAATCATATCAGAATATTTGCATGTTTATTGTAAAAATTATAATCTATGCAATACCATTTCAAAGTGACACATTTAAAAAAAAAAAACCTTGCAATAAATAACTGCATAAGGCCCTGCTCACATTTCGCGTCTTTTGCGCACTCAAGTTCGTTATTTCAAATGTAGGCGCGCAGTATGCGCTCTCATGATGGAACCGACGCGGTCGCGGTGCGACGCGCTCGTTTTTTACAAGCGCGTCCGCGCCGCATCGAGATAAAAACATCTCAACTTTTCAGAATGCCGCAAGCGCACCATAAGCGCACAGTAGGTCACGTGACAAGAACCAAGCGGAGCGCAACCGCCCTAGCGCTTTGGAAAAAGGAGAATGCGGCGCGCCCAGCGCTTTCTACGCGTTTTTAGGCGCTATATGTGAATCCGGCCTAAGGATGCACACACCTGAACTACTACTTCATTGAGGCCCCCTTTGATTTTACAGCACTCAGTTTGTTTGGATAGGAGCCTATCAGCTTGGCACATCTTGAGTTGGGAATATTTTCCTAATCTTCTTTGCAAAAAAAAGTTCCATATCTGTTAAATTGCGAGAGCATTTCTTGTGCACGGCCCGGTTCAGGTCCCCCCACTGATTTTCTACAGGATTCAGGTCTGGGCTCTGGCTGGGCCATTCCAAAACATTATTCTTGCTTTGCCGAAGCCATTCTTTTGATGATTTAGATGTGAAAGTGATTCCCTTCACCTTCACTAAAGCCTCATTTCCAGCTGAAGAAGAGCAGCCCCAAAAAATGAGGCTACTACCACTATGCTTCACCATGGAGCCGTATTTTGACGGCAAACATACCTTTCAAATGTGTCCAAAAAGTTCAATCTTGGTCTCATCAGACCATAACACATTTTTCCATATGGTTTGGGGAGACTGGATATGTTTTTGAAAAGTTTAGCCGGGCTTGGATGTTTTTTTTTTTTTTTTTTTTTTTTTTTTTTTTTTTTGTCAGACAAGGCTTGTGTCTTGCCTCCCTGGATGGCCTATTTTTGATAATGTCACTGTTGTGCCATACAATCTAATGCCTTAGAATTTTTTCTTGTAGCCATTCAACAATGATATGCTTTATAAGCTCTTTGTGGCCCATGGCACTTGTTGTATCATGCAACCAAGAACATGTCAGAAAAATCTTACAAGAACAGCTGAGATTTATTTGGAGTTAATCAGTGTCACTTCAGATAAAGGCTGGTGTGTACCATTTCACATGAGCTTGATGATTTATTAATTCTGAATCTGAACACAGACACATAACTATTTATAAAACGGTGTGAACATTGAAGCTGGGTACACACTGTTCGATTTATAATAGTCCTTTATGACCGTTGCTTGTCAGACTGTACGGAAATGATCCCCGCTGTAAGCCATGTCACACTGTGCGATCTCGGTTGTCATTAATGTCAGGCTGTACGGCAGTCAAGGCAAAGGCAAGGCCGTTAAACACGCAAGAAGACTTTTCAATCCGTGACCCGTTCAGTTATGTGGGCTACATTTACATGTGGTTTAGAAATGGTGGCTAGAAGACTAGCATTAATTTTGATCATGGCTTCTCACTCCTATTGGTTTTTTATTTAACGTTGTCATAGGAGAAGCCACGCTGCAGGACTGCGTCAAATCTTCGGACACTTTCAGAATAAAATTTGATCGCAATGTTCATTAATCGGCTGTTGGTGAACATGTCAAACTAACGATCAAAGACTTTAGATTTTTGCCTAGGATCCGAGGAATCTTTTAGAATTCACAAAAGTTTTCTTAGAGGGACAAATCATGGCCAAAATCATACAGTGTGAATCCGGCTTTATGCAGTTAGGTTATTTCAACCTTTTTTTTTTATCTTTTTTTTTTTTTTTATCTCTGAAAGTTGTCACTTTAGGTTTAGGGGCATTGCATAGGTTGTTATGTTTACATTAAAGGTTTAAAAGCTTTTATTCACATATTTGCATTGGTCAACTCAACATCAAATATGGTAAACAAGCTCAACCGAGCTTACGTAATGTGCCAGAAAAGCCTAATTGGTTCTTGCTGTTGTAACACACATTTGAGCTGCCGTTTACCATATTTGATGTTCTCTATTTATTGGGTGTACTGTATGTATGAATGAAATACATTATTTTCATTTTTGGACGAACTATCCCTTTAAAAAGGTCCTCATGACACTTCAAGCTGCTTTTTTCCATACAATATAAGTGAGTGAGGGTGCTTTGGATGCTGACAAGATCCAACAATGTCCTTCTCCTTCACCAAATCTGTGAAATCTCATTTGCACTCCTGCATATTCAAACTTGGAACAATGGATTCATTATTGTGGTCCCAGTTTGGTGGGCCCAAAATGGCAGTGGTTCCCAATCTGGGGTCCACACCCCTCTTACACGTCTACATCGGACATACATCGACATAATCCATAGTTATGTCGACTGTGTTTGTGTGCTCAATAAAAAGGTTTTCAGTATCTGATTCTGGGGAACTGGACGAATTTTGAATACTGTCATTTACAGAAAAGTGTGTGTTGATGTAAGTGCAGTAATATGAGTACACTTCCTTAAAGTAAAATGCGTGCCAAGAGGGCTGTTGTTGTATGTGTGTGTGTTTCTCTTGTGTATTTGGGTGTGTCTTGACAAGTGTGTCTCTGTGCTGAAATAGTAATGTTCGTGTTAATGAGGTAATATATGTGTGTGACGTGTGTGTGTGTGAGTTGGGTGTGGTGTTTTGCAGGAGGTCATGTTGACAGACATCTACAGGAAAGCACCGGCCTTATTGACCCACTTACATGTGTGTTTGCACACTCGCAAGGCGTTGGTCTGGGCAGAAACACCACTTATTTGCAGAGGGTGTGGCCAGTGTGCGTGTGTGCACGCGTGTGTGTTTGCAGAAGGAGTGACCGGCGCCCAAATGTCCGAGTGCGTCAGTGTCCGCTGTAGAAATCTCCACACATACACTCAAACACATGTGCTACTCCACCCCACTGGAACTGGGTCAGATGTGTGTGCGTATGATTCTGCACATAAGAAATTGCTGTTTTGACAGAAGTTTTATGGACCTTCTGCTAAAAGCTATGAATTATGCGATGTAGAGACATTGACTGACCAAGACCAAATGTGATTGTGTGTGTATGGAGGCACTTCAGTTCTCTCAGTGTCTTGAGAAGTTTGTTCATAGCGTACTTGACTTGTATACAGTATATTACTTTGTGTATGCAGGAATTTCAAGGATTGGGTGGGAATTAAGTTCTTTGTCCATCCGCCAATTTTACTATAATTTTATACAGTGTTCCAAATTATTATGCAAGTGCCATATCCGTACAAAAACATTCAGATTTAAAAATGTTCAAACAAAGTGTTTTTTCGTTTGATTACTCATATCTTTTAGATAACTGGTATCAATCTCAGACAGGTTTGTTAAGTAGTTTGCCTGGTCTTTTTAGGTAAATGGAAAACCTATTTACTGTAAAGAGGTTGTTCCACATTATTAAGCAATTTGCGGTTCTCATGCAATATGAGAAAACTACTAATATTTTGTGAAAACTGAATAGAGATTATCAAATTATCAAAAGATTTGTGAGTGATTTAAAACACAGAAGAACTCTGTCAGGAAAAGGCTTATTAAGGAAAGTTTTTTTTATTGTATTAGAAGGGAAGCTATAATAAACCACTCTTGAGCAGCAAACAGGTATTTGAAGCTGCTGGTGTCTCTGGAGTCTCAACCCCCTCTCCATGCAGGCTGGCAGTTGGATGGTTTTTTCAGGAACAAGTGGATAGTTGATTTTTAATGTCGGCCTAAATCGCATCGGAGGATTATGTTTATTCAGCGAATTTGACCGCAAATTGTTTTGTAAACGAGGCACAGTGTAATGGAGAGTTCGCAAAGAATCCATAATAAATCCATAATCAAAAAAAAAAAAAAAAAAAACCTTGTCATGACCCCTTTAAAGGTCCCCTGACATGAAATTTTCACTTTCTGAGGTTTTTTAACATTAATATTAGTTCCCCTAGCCTGTATTTGGTCCCCTCGTGTCTAGAATTTTCAATCGGTGTAAACCGAGCTTTGGCTATTTTTCTCTTCTCTGCAGCTCAGACGCGCTGATCTTGAATCTCCTCGTTATGACGTCATACCGAGGAAAGGTTACCTCCCCTTTCTCTGCTTTGCCCGCCCGGAGAATTTGGCTTGCCCATGAGAAAACGAGCTAGGAACAGGAAGTACGAATGCGCCGGCGCATTTGAGTTTTTCCTAGAGAAATAGCTTTGAGATTTGAGTTTTTCTTCGAGAGATATCATGGCTTGCAAACGAGCGAAGCATGGCAGTTGATCAATGTTTGGATGTACAAATGAACACAAAAGTATTTTTTAGTTACTTCATCCGAGCCTCTGAAGAAACAATGGGTTAATTTTATTTTCTCTGGAAATACGCCGACACAACTTCCCAAAGTTTTGTATGGTCCAAACATTTCACCGACGATTGTTTCCTCAACTTGATGAACGTCTGAAAATAAATCGATCGAGCTACCAAGCAACAATTTCTGATGTGTAGCCTAATTGTTCAAGTTCAGACAGGTAAGTTAATCTTTCTCTCAAAATCGTTCAATTCTGTTTATGCATCAGTAAGTCAAGCCAGTGACTAAAATATCAACTTCACATCGTTTCTTTTAGTAGGATGAAAATAATATTATTTAAATTCTGAACAAATAATACAGAAAGCGATCAAAGAACAATCTTTCCACACAGCGCGAGTTTATCTGGACAACTCGTTATGAAATCAATGACGCACGTTACACTGCACAACGAAGCTCTTACTGTATTAGGTATTTACATCGTGTTTGCATTGGGGAAAGCATTAGAGAGTGCAGAAACTGCGTTGCAAAGATAAGATCTTCATGCTCGCGATCAACAGACTGTCATCTGCTTGCTCAATGCTCATCACGGCAACATTTTATGTGATGGGAATAGATCTAAATACTTTAAAAACTAATCTCAATAGCTGTAATAGTAAAAACGTATAATAGCTGTAGTAAAAGTATTTGAGAAAGTTTCGCATGTAATACATAGCTATTTCATATGCAAGCATGTCAGCCAATCACAGCAGTGGGCGGTTCCACTGAATCCCACAGCAGACACGCCCCTTCAAACAGAGCGTTCAAATCAGAGGCTAAAATCAGGCTAGGAAAATTGCCTTTTATTTCTAAATTATGACTATTTTTGATCTAAAAAACATACTAACATTATAAGGGCAACCTAGGAAACATTATAAAATAATAAAATAACCCCATGTCAGGGGACCTTTAAGAGAATGTATTTTAACATAAAAAACTTACATATTTCACCTTTAGTTAAATTAGTTTTAGAAATGCTCTATTCACAGTTAATTATTCTAAGTGAATGTATGCAAAAAAGATTAAGCAGTATTTTGGTATTTGGCTTGTGATCTCAAGATGGCAGCCCCCATGCAGCGACCTGCTCCATGTGAAATAAAACTGCTTTTATTCTACTGATACTGTTTGACTGGAGTCTACAATCATATCAGTGTAACATATTTTTAAAGTATAACGTTTTTTTTACTTTGTTCTATTTATTTCTTTACGTGTGAACTTTTTAATGACAAAAAAAGAACATAGTTCTCTTTGCAAGACTTTTTTTCTTTGATCCACTTAGCTAAAACTGTAAACTTTCTCCTCACTCAGTTGTTGTTTGGCGAACAGTTAAGATTTCTAGTTTCTAACATTATGGTAGGTTTCCTGTCCAATTTTGCAATGAATAAGGATGAGTACACATGACAATTACAGTTACATTTACTGTCTGTTGCTAATATATACAGCCATAAATATTTGGCATTTCGAAATGTCACAATAATTCAGTGAATCTGAAGTGTTTTGTGACCACTGGAATAAAGAAAAGTAGGGGAAAAAACTCCCTTACATTTTGAAAATCGAACACGGGTTTGAAAATCCTGTAATCTTATGAGCCTTAAAGGCTGTTCACACTCACCAATTCTCACTGAAAAAGCTTCTGTTGTCATAGACCTTTCTGCAACATTTGTATTTATGCAAATGAGCCTTATTGCTGGTGCTGTCTGAACTGTACATTTAAATCCAGTCAATATTTGACATTTTTATCTTTTTTTTTTTAAACTGGGTGGGAAGACAGCTAAACTACAGCAGGTTTAGACAAGATCTAGTTGCATATATTACAGGAGGGAGATAAAAGAAACATGTGTTGTACAGTGTGTTGCTGAATGTCGTTTTATTTCAACACTGATTTGATTTTTCTTCCCCCTGTAATTTGCACCTCTTTATAAGGTGATCGCACATTATGTTTATTCCATGAATAACAGTACATTTTAGTTTTGCACATTTTCTCACTTTGTAAACAAAAGAGGTATTTTGACGTCTCGGATCCACCCTATAGTTTGGGTGGCGTTCGTTTTATTTTTAACACCTCTGCCTGTACTCATGGACACGTGTATATGAGTGTGATGTGTGTTTGTCTTTCTGTGTGCGTTTTGTGGTTTGCTCTTTTGTTAAGTGTTTATTTTTACAAACATGAGGGTAAACTACAAAATCTTGTGGAGGACCTGTTATCAATACACCAGTCGTTTATTAAAATGTGGTGAAATTACAAACTCATTTCAGGTTCTTTTAGTATCACCTTTTGAGCTGCTTACTGTGACTGTTAACTGTGGATGGTTTTAGTAGTTATAGACATGAATTTAAACATGTATTTTGTGTAGGCTTATTAGCCTATCTGAGTAATTTTGAAAATACATGAATGATTTTATGATTTTAGATTTTATATAGGTGATAATAAGTGATGGTGATGTTGGTAATTGATATAGGTGTTGTTGATTTAGGTTTTGTTGATTTAGAGAGATGTTTTTTTTTAGAATTGGTAACTACTCTTGGTGAAATTGCTTGTCTTGGCGAGACATTCAAGTAAACACAATCATGTTTGTCTTAAATGATAGTTAACAGCTGTACATTTTTTTTTACCGATATTTAAATGTAAGTAGTATTTTTTTTTTTACCTTTTATTACTTATGTTTTGAGTGTTTACTTGAAAACTTGGTGAAAACTTTTCTCATATTATTTGTCTTATTTGTAATTTCTGCCTGTCTTTATTTTATTAGTTTATGTAGTTCCTTGCAACACAATTTACTTGGAGACATGCATAGTAACAAAACATACTGGTAATAGATCCTACAATATGGCCAATACTCGTATAGACAGAGCTTTTTACTGAAGCATTTTACAGTCTTTTACCGACTACATACCAGAATGCAGAATCTTCATTGTTTTTGGTATTGACTGCTAAAATGATGATATAATGACAAACGTAGACATGATGATATTGGTAGTTTATGTAGATGTTATGTAGATGATGTTGGTAGCTAGTAATTTATCTAGGCAAACGTTGGTAGTTCATGCAGGTTGATTTTTGTCTTATGACAAACTGTTACGTTTTTCTTTATTTTTCAGAATCCGCTTTAGAGGTTGGCAGCAGAATGGCATTGGGGGGTGGGGACAGCACCCTGGGGGCGGTGCCAGAGGAGAGGAGAAAGACGAGTGGGGCAGAGCTAAGAGAGTTATGGAGAAAAGCCATTCTTCAACAGATCCTCCTCCTGCGGATGGAGAAAGAGAATCAGAAACTACAAGGTAAAACACAAACACATATGCAGTGACTCATTGTGAACACTTTCATTCAGCATGCAAATGGCCAAGTAATCCAACTAACATTAGGATGCCTTTGCAGACTCAATTAACAAAAATGAAATCAATTATGAGACTAATTTTGTATTTATTTTTTTTGGTAACGCTTCCTTTTACAGTACAGTACTTGCGTGTACTTACAGTGTACTTACCTAGAAAGTACTGGCTAATATAAGGTAAGTACATGGGTTAGGGGTAGGTTCAGGGTTAGTACCTAGTTATTACCCAGTAATTGTAATTATTATAATAGTAAGTACATGGGTAACAGGACTGTAAAAGGATGCGTTACCATTTTTTTTTTGTTGGTCAAAACAATAATCCCACTTGTTTTCCAATTAACTCTAGTTTGTTCACCATTGCATTATGGTCTTTATGTTAGTTTAAGTTTATTATTATTACTTTTTCTTAATGTTAATATTATTCTGCCTGTACAATATATATATATATATATATATATATAACATGCTTTTGTGAAATCGCAACATCTAGATTACTAGGTATTACGTGGCAATAAAGCTTAGTTTGTTCTTGCCCTTAAGATTTATTCAATTAATGTTTTCAGCATTAAAAATTATTTCCCTTCTGTGGTCCTTTGGAATTCGTTAGATGGATGATTTGTCTGGTTTACATTCAGCCGGCATACACAAAAGCATCTCCCATAAACAGTAGCGCACACACACACTTCTGCACAACTCGGCGCACCCATGCGCTGCCATACCTGGAAGTCCCTGCTGCAGGTTATGAGATGATCATGAAAGGTAAAGAAGTTTTCTGGCACAGATGCGTTCTGATTTGGGCGTGCTCATGATTGGCAGATTGTCACGTCCTGCCCTGCCATGCTCAGTCATGATTCTCATGACCTGAAAAAGAAAGAACAGAAGCTTGAAAAGAAAGCAGCCAGACCCATTGAATAGGGTGTGTGCATATAAAAGTGGGTCAGGAGGAGTGCACTGGGAAGACTGTCTGCCCTACTTCTAGCCTGTTTTTATTACCACGTTTCTTCTCAATCACAAGACATTTGATGTTTGACACTTTGGAGACTTCTATTTCTGTTTGTGTCTTTCTTTTTTTTATGGTTTCTTTTTTTCCCATGGGTAAGGATGGGTGGGGAGGGAAGGGTATTATTCTCCGGTTCCTGAAATTTCCCTTCTTGCTGTTATATCTCTTCCTGTGTTTGTGTGTGTGTCTGAATGAGAATTCTCACTGGTGCAATAAGAGCGATTACACTTACTCGGCTTACTACAGCTCGATTTTAATAACATAACAGCAAATGACAATAAAGCAGATATAAATGAAAGACCACATTGCAAGGAGAGCACGATCATGCAGGTTTGCACTGCACAACATCAGGAAGATCAGGCCCTTCCTAACGTAGAGCATGCTCCACAAATTCTCGTCCAGGCCCTTGTCATTTCTAGGCTGGACTATTGCTATGTTCTTCTGGTTGGACTTACATCATGTGCAACCAAACCTCTACAATTGATCCTGAACGCAGCAGCACGACTGGTCTTCGATGCACCCTCCTACCTCCACTCGCTCTTATGAGTCTACATCCCCTCCAGAAGCCTGAGGTCAGAAAGCGAGCGACGACGCCTCGTGGTACCTTCACTGAGAGGCACAAGATCACTTTCCAGGATGTTTTCGTTTAATGTTCCTTGCTTGTGGAATGATCTTTGCAACGCTACCCTGAACGCAGAATCCCTGACAGTATTCAAGAAGCAGCTGGAAACTCATCTCTTCCGCCAGCACTTGACTGCATCCCGCTGTGCTTTAATCTTTAATCTCTCCCTGTTCTAGCTTGTACTATTCTAAACGATGCCTGAAACTTTGCATTACCTGCACTTCTTGTGTTTATTGGCTCTATATGATGAATTGCTTGTTGTATTCCTTATTTTGTAAGTCGCTTTGGATAAAAGCGTCTGGTAAATGAATAAATGTCAACGAAAACAAATATGGACTTCACACAATATACTTTTTCCCAATTCTGTGTAGCACTAGGAGCAGGATTTCATAACAATGGGTTATACGACTAGTTCAAACTTTTAATATGGACGTTAATGTTCAAAAGTATGGAGTTAGTAAGATTACTCGTTGCTTTTTTCATCAAGCATTCATTCAATCAAAAGTGATAGTAAAAACATTTATAATGTTGCAAAAGATTTCTAATTCTTTTCAAGTATCAGTTTAAACAAAAACTATTAAGCACAAAAATACTGAGCATAAGAGACTTCAAAAACATAATAAAATCTTACACACCCCAAACTTTTAAACAGTAGTATATATGTTTGTGTTCGGTAACTAATATGTAAAACCAACTTTTAATTATAGTAATTTTTGATGGAGAAATAAACAGCTTGATTATGGCAATACAAATGTAATGTATCTCATAAAAATTTATTTAATAATAGCAACAAATACTATAGTTTATAGATTTTAATTTATTTTCATGCTGGTTTTGGGCTATGTGACTCTTAAGCTTAAGAGTTAATTTATCACATCAGAGCAGATAAATGTTACTGAAAAATTCATGCAAATATTAATTAAATGAATTAATAGCAAATAGTAATTAATTAATTGCTCAGTGGTATCATGCTGTTGTTAATGTGCTATTTCTTTAGCTCCACCATATTTATTCTGCACATTTTCAGTTTCTTAACCTTTCATTCGATGTGTGTACAGCATCAGAGAGTGATCTGCAATGCAGACGACTGAAGCTGGACTATGAAGAGATCACTCCATGTCTGAAAGACGTCACTCTGGTCTGGGAGAGAATGCTCAGCACCACTGGGAGGTCAAAGGTCAGATTCGACACAGAGGACATCCACACAGCTGTGGGACAAGGTGACTAAAATACACACACACACACACGGATACATAAGAATGTTGAAGTTGATGTGACAGTGAGTTGCATAAGGTTGGGCATCAGCCTATTCAATGAATATTTTGTCACCTGGATTAACTAAACTAAAACTGACTATTGAGTGAGGATTATGTAATATTTAGTTTTAGACAGTTTATGTATCAGTTTTCAGTTTAGAGAAGTGTCCATTGTGATACCTGTGTGAATTTGTTATTTTGAAGCCTTCAATTGACTTTTCCTGGAAAAAAAAGTTAATTATTGTTATTCATATTTGATGGTGTATGCCAAATATGTGCGTGAGTGTTTGATATGCATAGATAGAAGAGCTGTCTCGTTGATGGTCAGTTTTTTATAGTTGTAGTTCTGCAGAATGTTATTGTGAATGGTGAGCTTGCATGCACTAACGCGCACACACACCTGTTTGAGTTCAGTGGAACTGTGGCATTTGCATGAAATGCTCACGCACACCTACACATACAAAGATGTTACACATAGTTTACCATGCTATCACAATAGATCTGGTGTAATTCTTCACACAGTGATTTATCATACTGATTTATGTATGATATACTGCGGTGGAGACAAAATGATGAGTGTTTGCAATTCTGTTTGGTCACGCTAGTGGGACAGACTTTTCACGAGGAACCGTGTTTTAAGCTTGTGGTTGGTTTTTGGATTTGTGATGTTTGTAAATGTCATTTTCTGATGCGTGTGAATGGGGATGCGTGTTACCGTTTTACGTCAGTCCTTGCCAATGTTGACTTTGTCCTCTTAAAGTGATTGAATGGACTTCCATCTACATGTCAGATGAGATCACACATTACTGAAAAAAATCACTCACAAACTGTGGTGTTCTGCTCAAGGCATGTAAACATTCAAAGCTCCATCGAAGATCCATCAATTAATCTCTTTCTCCTCTTCGCTGTTTTTCTCTCTCTCAGGCGTTCCTCGTCAGCATCGAGGAGAGATCTGGAAGTTGCTTTCAGAACAGTATTTGCTGAGGAAGGAGGGGCCCAGCGCCAAACCTCCTAACAATAACGCTCCTTATAAAGAGCTTCTAAAGCAGCTCACATCTCAACAGCATGCCATCCTCATAGACTTGGGTTAGTATTACAAACACAATGGGTCTGTGCCAAAACCTAGTGAATTGCATTGCTGCCTACAGCTTACATAGGCACCATCTAACTAAAATGAAACCTCATAAGTGACCAAATTTAGGACATTCTTGATAGGCAACAACTGTGCTTGATGCACAAATATAGCTCCTCTCGTGAAGCACACAGGAGACTTGGCCCACAACTGATTCCGATAGAATTATACATTAGCATGTGTCTATGCTAACAATTCAGTATTTTTTTTAAACAGTGGTTCTCAACCAGGGGCCCGGTATCCACTAGGGGCCTCTGCAAACTTACAGTGGGGCCACAGTAAGACTTACAATTATTTAAATTATTTATATTTAGTTATATTAACATAATCTTTATTTAGATGCTCAAATAAAGATGTACATCATTAAACTGGTATTTTTGTGTGTGTTTTTGTTTGTTTATTTTTATTACAACAGCTTAAATAGGAGGGCCTTCAAATATTGTCTTGGACATAGTGGGACCGTGAGGTCAGAAAGATTGACTGTTCTAAAAAAAAAAAAAAATAGAATTCTAAAATGTCGGGTTAAATTGTAAATAAAATAGATAAAATGTAGTTATTTATAAATGTTATTTAAAAATATTTAAATTTACTCTTTGGGATCGAATGAAAATAAATTGTGTTATTTATTATGTTAATATACACTACTGTGTTAAAAAATGCTTGGGTCAGTAATATTATTATTTTTTTAAAGAAATTGATTTTATTCATCAAGGATGCATTAAATCGATCAAGTGACAGTGAAGACATGTATAATGTTACAAAAAAATTATTTCAAATAAATGCTTTCTATTCATCAAAGAATCCTGAAAAAAGTATCATGGTTTCCACACAAATATTAAGCAGCACAACTGTTTCTAACTTTGATAATAATAAGAAATGTTTCGTGAGCAACAAATCAGCAAATCAGGATGATTTCTGTCTGAGGGATCATGTGACTCTGTAGACTTTAAGTTGAAAATTCAGCTTTACCATCACAGGAAAAATTTACATTTTAAATATATTAAAATAGAAAACAGTTATTTTAAGTTGCAATAATATTTTACTGTATTTTCGATCAAATAAATGCATCCTTGGTGAGCATTATAGACTTCTCTCAAAAACATCCAAAGATCTTACCGACCCCAAACTTTTGCAATGATTTGATCAAATTAACCACTTAATGTCCCCATTAATTTTAACAATGTGTGATATTATTGTTTTCAATAATGTCAAATGCCCTTAAAATGCTGTATTGATAGGCAGTTAACTAGGTTTTGGAACAGAGTTACTGTTAACCTTTTGTATAGTCTGTAGTTGTTTGTTGCCTTTGAAGGTTGTCAGTTATCCAGGTCTTTTGTTGAATGTCTATCAGATTTATTCTAGTCAACTGGATGTATCTCGCTGTTGCTCAAGATGTTTTGCCTCTCAGAAATGTCTTGAGAAAGATATAAACTTGTCCGTTTGTAAGATAACTCAACTCAGTTAATTGTTGGGCTTGCTTAATGTTCCGCTCTAGCATGCCGAAAAACAACTATTCTGCTGTTCTATGTCTTAAAAACACACTAACTTGTTCATTCTTGCCCTGGAATGTTTTCAAAAATTGTCATTTGAATATACACAAAAGTCTCTATTGTTTGCAAAATGATCATTACCTCAGTTATTATAGAGAACAACTTCTGCAGAACCTCAGGCTAAATGAATGGTTGAGACACTAGCAGAGATGGACAGATGTGAAGATGGAGAGATTAATGGGGAGGCTCAGACAAAGAAAGGGAGGTGTTAGGCTCTCAGCACAGTGACAGCGGGAAGAAAGAGAGATAGATATCTTTACAACACAGGAAGACACCTAATCTTATAGGAATGTATATTGTTTCTAAGACAGGAACATAAAAGCTTATTCTATGCAGTACTGTGAATTCCTATATTGCAAGATGCTTGCATAATTCATGTTCTAAACATTTCCATACATTCGAGGTAGTCCAAGTATTTAAAGGTATAGTAAGATTATTGTGTCATTAAAGTGAGTGACACCATTTGCCATGCCCATTTTTATTTCATCTTATACTTCCAAAAGCAAATGACAAACTTTTCTTCTTCACTAAAGTACAAATCTACAGTTGTATACATTTAAACAGAAATTGAGATTTAGTCATAAATTTGGGCCAGATTACTGCCATCTGGTAAAAAAATTAAAATAACATCATGCCAGGTCAAAATCATGTTATGACAATAATGGCCTGTAAATGACTGAAGTGATCTATGCAAACACCTGGGGCCTCATGTACAAAGACTTGCGTTGAATTCATACTAAAACATTGCGTACGGACAAAGCTGTAAATGTGCGTACGCACAAAAAAAAGCAGATGTATGAATCTCTGCACGAAGGATCCCACGCATATTCTCTTTGTACATCCCAATTAACGTAAAATTGAGCGCACATGCACGAGCACAACGCCCCACCCAGTCTCCTCCTCCAATTAAATTAATTTAAATATGGTAATTAGTCCAATTTGGCAAAAGAAACCTGCAAGAACATGGCTAAAGCAAGCAAGAAACGAAATTTCACTGAAAATGTCTTCTATGTGAATATACAGTAAAGTGTAATTAATTCCTGTGATCAAAGCTGAATTTTCAGCATCATTTCTCCAGTCTTCAGTGTCACATGATCCTTCAGAAATCACTCTAATATGATGATTTGATGACCAAGAAACATTTTTGAGTATTATCAGTGTGAAAACACAGGTGTGCTTCTGCTTCATATTTTTGTGGAAACCGTGATATAGTATTTTCAGGATTCTTTAATGAATAAAAACTTAAATCAAACAGATATAGAAATCTTATAATCTTTTGTAACATTATAAATGCATTTACTCTCACTTTTAAACTAATTCAATGTGTCCTTGCTAAATAAAAATATTACTTTCTTTTTTTATCTTTACTGACCGAATTAATGAAGTTTATTTTTTATTCCTTAAGCCAACGCTGCCATTGCTAGACGGATTGTATCAATTTGGACATTTATATATGTTCTTACTTAATTGCATAATAGAATATTTTAATAAAACTCGTGTGACAATAATATGTCAAATAATTTATCAATTACAAATTATAAGCAATATCTGACAGCTGGTGGTGCGATAGAACAATTCGTAGTGTAATGTTTGCCAGTTCACTTTATTGCCTCTATGAGTCGCCAACGGACAAAAATCACGACAAATGTATGTACGCCAGACATGAAGTTTACTTGGAGGAACGCACATTCTTACGTTAATTTCACTGTTAGTACATCTGGCCGTGAACGTGAAAGCTGACGTACGCCGTGTTTTTGTGCGTACGCAGTGTTGATACATGAGGCCCCTGCTGAGTAAGAATTCTAGATTTTATGCTTTAGTTATATATTTGGATATTTATTTATACATTATCCAACTATTATTGGTTTACAGATTCCCATTTATTTTATTCTCACTCTCAAAGTATGTGTTAGGTGTGAAAGTTTTGGATTTTTTTTAGTCTCACCCATTTATGTCTGTGTATGATTGTCAACATTGTGGCTGATAGATTTTATTCAACACAGCTCTGTGATTGGGTCTTTCCCATTCATTACTATGGTCCCCAGTTTTGATTGCAAACAGGAAAGAGTATTGTGACTTTAAGACTCACTTATTTTTATCAGATTGCATATATAAAAAAGTCACCAAGTTTTGAACCACTCAGATTGAGCAAACCATTTTTTATTAAATCAACAAAGTGAAATTGGTCAAAAAAGACAGAACAGCTTAGGAGGGTAAATATCCCTACAGATTTAATGCATTTAATGAGTCATATCATTGTTTTAAATATTGTTTTCAATAATGTGAAATGTGTAAATATCTGTTAACATTGCAAAAATTTGTTTTAGGGTTTATTACAATTTAAAAGTAATTTATTTTGGGGAGACAATTAAAAAAAGAACATTATTAGTATAAGAAAAAGTCTAGCATAAAAAGTTTGCAGATTTCACTTAGTTTGGTATCTACTTATATAACACAATGAAATCAAAACCCTGAAATGTGACTTAAGTGTCAAAATACTGTACTTGCCCTCTGTATAAACTTACATGGGAGCGGCACTGTTGGAATATAAGCACATACAGTACTGTAGATATGCCTCAAATGTTTACTGAAAAACTAGCAACTGCCTTTGGTTGATGATGCTACATGTTTAATATTTGAGTCCTGGTCTGTCCTTCTGTCAGTTGGCTAAAGTGCCATACACCCATTGGATTAATCTCTGAATAGGTCTGAACACTGTAAAAGCAGACGGAAGTGAAGGAGATTGAGCTGAAGGGGGAGGGGGGTCATATGTCTCTGCCAACATCAACAAGAGCAGCAGCATTGTTTCATTTAAACTGCACTTTAAAAAAACGAATACTTGAATGATTATTCCTCTTCCTCTCCCAGGACGTACATTTCCCACTCATCCGTATTTCAGCGCTCAGTTGGGGGCTGGCCAGCTGTCCCTCTATAATCTACTGAAGGCATATTCTCTACTGGACCCAGAGGTGGGTTACTGCCAGGGCTTGAGTTTTGTGGCCGGCGTGTTGCTGCTCCATATGAGTGAGGAGGACGCATTCCACATGCTCAGATTCCTCATGTACGACATGGGGCTACGGAAACAGTACAGACCTGATATGATCATACTGCAGGTACAGTAACATTCACATGCTAACAAATATATCATCAAATGTTATTTTTTCCCACTTATTTTTTACACCTAAAGAGTGCTTTTGACATATGTTCAAAATGATGTACACTCACATGAGCTGAAGACTGCAGTCATATCAGTGGCCTTTATTCTACATATCAGTGGCCTCTATTTCCTTCACGGTGGCTGCAGTGTTTAATCACATGACCAGCCAAGTAGTAGCAAGCAGTACATTATTTTTCCATGGAAGAAAGCAAGTCAGACGATGTGGAACAACATGTCGAATAAATGATGACAGGATAAAGCCTTTTTAAATCACATTTTCTTGTAGGCATTTAAATGAGTTGATCTGTGATTGGATAAATGGTGAATTCCTTAGACAATTACTCAATTTTTTTGTACACTACTGTTCAAAAGTTTGGGGTCAGTAAGATTTTTTTAAATGAATACTTGTATTCAGCTATGATGTATTAAATTCATCAAACATGACAGTTGAGACATTGTATATTGATTGTCCAATGTCCAGCCAAATGGGTTTTCACACTCTGTTTTTCATATCTGAACATAGTTGAGAGACAAACCCATATATAAGAGGACAGATCATTGTCCCATAGACCCAATGTCAGTCATAACTTTTCCTAAAAAAGTAGTTCCTGCGTTTGGCTTTGTACGAAAGTATTCCTCTAGTTAAAGAGTTTATGGGATAGATTCTTTATGAAATCTTAACTTTAGCATGATCTCATTATTGTTTTTTTTTAAATAGTTCTGTTCACTTCCTTTTCAGTAATGTGTTGCATATAAATCAAATAAACTGTTAAACATAATTAATCACATAATATATCAACTTTGACACCCTCCCTCACAGCTAAGCATGTAAGAAGAATTAGATCAGATAACTGTAAGAGATGCCCAATAAAAACACCACAAGTAACCATCACGGTTTTTTAATGTTCATCAGATGAGAGATGTACAGTATACACAGTTTAGTGTATTCCACAGTATACCAGAACTCTTTATCCATGATAATCGGATGTTCTTTGTATTCTACTGACTTCTGTCTTGTGTATTCTCTCTTTCTTAGATTCAGATGTATCAGCTGTCTCGTCTGTTGCACGACTATCACAGAGAGCTGTACACTCATCTGGAGCAGTACGAGATCGGCCCCAGTCTGTACGCCGCTCCTTGGTTCCTCACTGCCTTTGCCTCGCATTTCCCACTTGGATTCGTGGCGCGAGTGTTCGGTGAATGCACACACCCTCACGCGCACTTTCATACGCACACACACTCGCAATACTCACTTTCCCAATCTAAATGAGTTCCTCAGAATACCCATTACCACAGTGCTTTTTACAATTATACATTTAGCAGAAGTATTTATTTAAAACAGGGACAGTCCCTTTGGACAAGTTCCTTTCTCAAGGGCATTATGGTTGTAGTTCATGAATTGCATACAACCTACAATCCTTGGGTTTTGTTACGACCTCAGATGTTTAACCACCAAGCCACACCAGCCACAGATAAAAAGCATCTTTTATTTAAGTAAAATGTAAAAACGAAAGCACGTTTGGAGATGTGAGCAGGCAGATCAGATAGTGATGCATTACCAATCTCTCAATTTCCATAGAAGTGTTTATGAAGATGGCCTGCATGTTTGGCATATTTTTGTTGTCTCGTCAGATACTGTGGAACACATACTGTACACAGCACATTCTCTCTCTTTTGTCGTTACCAAATACATTTAGGGGCACACACATGTCTGCTTGTACACAAACATACCCTGACCGCAGAGATATTAATGAAATGTTGCAAGCTGGCACTGGGTGCCAGGGTGGTTTTACAGGTTGGGGAATAATTTTTGCATCTGGGTTTTTCACTTTCTTTGTTATTTGTCTCTTTTAAGTGGTGCCTGCTATTGCACATACTTTCTCAAAACCCATAAATCTTAGTATTTAACTTTGGTTTAACACGCCCTGCACTGTTTGTTCTACAGACATGGATAATGTCTTAAATCTTGCAGCTTATTATGCTGTTATGTTTGGAATCACGGTTGCGATTTTCACAATTTTATTGTTAACTTAAACTATTACAAATTTCTTTGTGATAATGTAAATAAGTAGTTAAATAAACATTTTTTACCATGTAATAATTTATAATTTTATGATGTATTTTTTATACATTACATTTGAAAACGCAACCGCAATCTGCACAGAATTTTTTTTATTCCCACTGTATAATTTGCTGTATGAAAAATTTGGTTTAATCCAAAAGTTCCAAAAAATCAAAAATATAGTTTTGCTATAGTAAAATTACTTTCTACATCAGGGGTTCTCAACTCTGGCCCTCGAGGTCCACTAACCTGCCTGTACATTTCTAGCAATCCTAAAGACCTTGATTAACTTGTTCAGGTGTGTTTGATTGGGATTGGGGCAAAACTGAGCAGAAAAGTGGATCTCGAGGGCCAGAGTTGGGAACGCCTGGTCTACAAATGGTATAGTTTCCAATGTTACTAGTAAGAGTTTTTATATATATATATATATACACTCACCGGCCACTTTATTAGGTACACCTGTCCAACTGCTCGTTAACACTTAATTTCTAAGCAGCCAATCACATGGCGGCAACTCAGTGCATTTAGGCATGTAGACATGGTCAAGACAATCTCCTGCAGTTCAAACCGAGCATCAGTATGGGGAAGAAAGTTGATTTGAGTGACTTTGAACGTGGCATGATTGTTGGTGCCAGAAGGGCTGGTCTGAGTATTTCAGAAACTGCTAATCTACTGGGATTTTCACGCACAACCATCTCTAGGGTTTACAGAGAATGGTCCGAAAAAGAAAAAACATCCAGTGAGCGGCAGTTCTGTGGGCGGAAATGCCTTGTTGATGCCAGAGCTCAGAGGAGAATGGCCAGACTGGTTCGAGCTGATAGAAGGGCAACAGTGACTGAAATAATCACTCGTTACAACCGAGGTATGCAGCAAAGCATTTGTGAAGCCTCAAAACACGCACAACCTTGAGGCGGATGGGCTACAACAGCAGAAGACTCCACCGGGTACCACTCATCTCCACTACAAATAGGAAAAAGAGGCTACAATTTGCAAGAGCTCACCAAAATTGAACAGTTGAAGACTGGAAAAATGTTGCCTGGTCTGATGAGTCTCGATTTCTGTTGAGACATTCAGATGTTAGAGTCAGAATTTGGCGTAAACAGAATGAGAACATGGAACCATCATGCCTTGTTACCACTGTGCAGGCTGGTGGTGGTGGTGTAATGGTGTGGGGGATGTTTTCCTGGCACACTTTAGGCCCCTTAGTGCCAATTGGGCATCGTTTAAATGCCACGGCCTACCTGAGCATTGTTTCTGACCATGTCCATCCCTTTATGGCCACCATGTACCCATCCTCTGATGGCTACTTCCACCATGTCACAAAGCTCTAATCATTTCAAATTGGTTTCTTGAACATGACAATGAGTTCACTGTACTAAAATGGCCTCCACAGTCACCAGATCTCAACCCAATAGAGCATCTTTGGGATGTGGTGGAACGGGAGATTCGCATCATGGATGTGCAGCCGACAAATCTGCGGCAACTGTGTGATGCCATCATGTCAATATGGACCAAACTCCCTGAGGAATGCTTCCAGCACCTTGTTGAATCTATGCCACGAAGAATTGAGGCAGTTCTGAAGGCAAAAGGGGGTCCAACCCGTTACTAGCATGGGGTACCTAATAAAGTGGCCGGTGAGTGTATATACATTTGTTGCTGAATAAAATTATTCTGAGGTATCAACTGACAATCTGCCCTTCTCCATTAATCATTTCAGAGAGCTGAAAATTCATTGTCTCTCTTTATCCTACTTTGCAATCTCTCTTATCTTCTATGGGAACGCTGAAGTTAATTATGCATGATAATCACAATTGCTGATGCATGGCGACTGGCGCTAACTTTGTTTTGCTTAACCATGGTTCCATGACAGTGTGTGTTGTGTGATTATAAGGTTGAATGTCATTGACCTTGTGGCACACGAACTCGCACGGCTCTTTCCAAGGTTAATCGGTTGAACCATCTTGGAACCTCTCATTTTATTCTCATCTCACACTAACTTACACACATAAACATTTCTGTTTGCAATCTTTTGTCTTCACACACACATACAATGCAAACACACAACTCTCAACAAATCTACTGGAGATTTTCAGTTGCAGATTTTTCTACTCGAAGTAGATGTAATAAAGAAAAATTTAATATAAAAACAATATTATATATGAACCGTTACGGTAATATCTTTGCATATATTTAGTTTTTAAACACTGATCAACAAAATAAGAAGGTACAAAAAACTGCATGATGTTTTCTTCTTCTTAATATGCTATTTCACATAACATGTTTACATATAGTCCACATGACAAAATAATTATGGAATTTACACATACGCCCTAATTCAAAACTTTACATACACATAGACATGCTTAATACGGTAATTAACTGGATGATCAATGACTATATTGTATATTTTGTGTAGTTGTGTAATCATGAGATGCAAACAAGGGACTCATAAACATAGCTTATTCAGGGCAGTACTAAATAAAAAATATAGTAGTTAGTAAATTAAATATCCTATATGGAATAATCTACAGAAAGGTGTGCATTAAACTATTTTAATGAATGATGTTGAGGCAAAAACCTGCCCTCTGGATATTGGATATTTAATTGTATATGCTTATTTTCTGTTTTATTTTCCCTTTTACCTTTAACACTCACTTTAAGGTAGTTTATAAATGCAAATAATTTAATAAAACTGATTAGCAATTCTCTATTTATTTTTTTAAGTGATTTTTTTTTTTTGTGACAAAATGGTAAAGAATTTTGGTATTGGTGCGTCCCTAATATATTTATTATCAGGCATGCTGCAAATAGACTATTGAACTTCAGTTGTGAGCATATATTATATTATATTATATTATATTATATTATATTATATTATATTATATTATATTATATTATATTATATTATATTAATACCTGTAATATATTATATTGCAATGTAATTTTGCATATTGCAATTGAACATAGATGCCTTCAAATGGATTCCTTGATGTAAACTGAACAGTATTTATTGATTTTATATCTTCCAGACATGCTGTTCCTTCAGGGATCAGAGGTCATCTTCAAGGTGGCCTTGAGTCTACTTGGTAGCCACAAGCCTCTGATTCTCCAGCATGACAATTTAGAGTCAATTGTCGAGTTCATCAAAACAACCTTACCCAATCTGGGCCTTGTGCAAATGGAAAAAACAATCAATCAGGTAATATATGTGTCGGAGTTATCGTGCATGCCTCCACCATACCTGCATTTCAAATAGACGTACGACTCACATCAACACATACGCACTTACTTTCGCTAAGTGTCAAGGCAGTGGCACATTTGGGTGTGGATGCTTTTGTGGTGACACCAATATACGTGTCTTTCCCTACACAATCAATGCATACTCGTGCTTGGGTGTGTCCTGTGTTCATCTTCATATGTGGTTTTGCATAAGTACTAGTTTCATCATGAACTCGGCACAAATAATAGATGGAGTTAGTAAAGTATGGGTGTTGCTCAGTGTGTGTCTGTGCATGTGCGTGTGTGTGTGTCTCAAATGATTCTTGCATGAAAAAGTGTTTCATGCAAGACAATTACCAGGAGCACTCTTCTTTCTCTTGAATATTTTAAAGGATGCCCAACCACGCACAATGAAAAGATATAGCAGAAAGAAAATTAAGCACGTTTTTACATTTTTGGGAGTTCTTCTTGGGATTGGTAAATACATTTTAGAGTAGTAGACACACAAAGTGGTTAATGTGACCTGTGTATTACGTCTTTCAAAGCCAAATGATTGCTGTGTGAGGAACAGACTGAAATTTACACCTTTATCCAATGAATATCTTTTTCTGTCAAGTAGACAGTGATGTAGGATAATGATAAATGATGATTTTGATGATGAATTTTAATTTGATCTTAGTCTAGAATGAGAATCTTTTTAAACATGTTACAATTTATCTATTTTCTTCATATTTAAAATGTCTACCCTTTTTAAATTATATAAATATAAAAATAAGTTTTTGTGCATGTAGTTCCACTGCCATACAAATGACTCCATTATAGAATCACCAGGATAGCAATTTCATTGAAGATGTCTCTGTTTGATGTCAAGGAAGTGTGTATGAGCACCCTACACTTTTAGGAATTTATGAGGCTCTAAAATGGCAGTTGTGAAGAGTGCGTGTGCGTACACACACACGCACAGTGTATTTTTTTCATATTTTCATTTTGTTGTTTTTGGATGTTGGATGGAGTTTTTTAGACCCCCTTCATCTTATAACTGAAGTTTACACACACACATACACACACACACACACACACACACACACACAAAGAAACATGCTTTGACTTGCCCATCTTTGACCTGTTCATCTTGTATATTTGTACATGTTTCCATGTAGGTGTCTGAGATGGATATCAGTAAGCAGCTGCAGGCCTATGAGGTGGAGTATCATGTTCTTCAGGACGAGCTCTTGGATGGTCCCTCCACTCTCAGCCAATCACAGCGAGTGGCCCAGTTGGAGAAGACCAATGGAAGCCTCCGACAGCAAAACTTAGACCTCCTAGAGGAGCTACAGGTGGCTCATTTTAACACAAGCAGAATCCCTTTATATATAGGCATTTAGATAAAGGCTTATTCACGTGTTATCTGAATTTTCTAATTGGAATGGATCTTTTTTCATTAGTATGATTTATTCAGCTGTTTCAATTCAGCATCAGATGATGTGTGAATAGTTTCCCTTCAAAAATTCTTCCTGAATATTTTGTACCGCTTTTTCTTTCTTTTTTTTACATTGCATTTGACTTTGACATTATCGTCTTCCATCAGGTTGCCCACGCTAAGATCAGATGGCTGGAGACTCGTGTGGACGGCCTGGTGAATCGAGAGGCTGAGCTACAGTCGGAGGTAAAGACTCTCCAGCAGGAACAGACAGAGCAGCAGCAGACTGTATCCAATCTCAGAGATCTCCTCAGGAGTCTGGGTATAAACAGCCCCTCTCCTGAGCAGGACAACCTCACCAACACAAGCAACAACCAATAACTGGCAGTGAGGATACAGAGTCAAGTCTTTAGAAACACTCAACTGTCATCACCAGTTGTGCTATCAACCTCCTCCTGTAAATATCACGTCTGTCATAATCCTATTGCCTCTGTCGTTCTCTAAACAAGCCATCTTAGCGGAGGGTTTTCAGGGCACTGAAGTTTCTTCACCTGAGATGATCTTGAAGATCTTATCTTGGTATTTCTCGCCAGAACTGATCAAACAACCTAAACGATCAAAGCATTAAACAGCTCAAAAGAATAGCTGAGATGCCTCTCTTTCTGGTTCTTACAGCTTTCGTAACTGGCTTTTACTTTATGGACAGAGAGGTTTTGGATCACTATTTTTTAATAGACACTCCCTGCTGTTGTTTCTGTGTTTTTAACACGACAATGACCCCAACAAAGCCTCTCCATGGTAGATTTGATTGGCATTCAGACATTAGATTAGATTGACAGTTCCCCAGCAAGCACTGAACAGCCCTCTGAAAGGCTACGGATAAATGCACTCTTGCTGTGCAGTGTAATATTTGCACCGTTCTTATTTCGTGTGATTGTTTGTGTTTGTGTGTGAGCATGTATGGATGTGGCAATCAACCATTATATTCCAGTGCAATATAAACTAAAAAAAGACAACCCTCTAGTACACTCTAAATCTGCACAATCTTCTGTTCTAACAGAAACCAAAGAGGAGCTTCAAAATCTGAGTGCACTTCCATAAACAGAGAAATATCTGTTTCATCCTTTTCATTTTTTTTTCATCTGAATGCTGCGGATTTACTCTATTACCCAGAAATCATTCACACTCAACAGAAAATCCTGACTGACACATTTACCAAAATAAGATTAAAACAATTTAAGCAACATACGGTCCCTTTCATTATTACTCACAAATGCAAAACTTCACATATAAACTCAGTATCCATCAATTTCTACGTGTTTTTTGGATCATTCGGATTTAGTGGTTTCCAGTGATGGCGTTTTTAGCTACTTGGCGGCACTGCTGTTGATATGGTATCCAAAGCCAAAGACCCTAATGATATTTTAACATGTTCTCAACAACAACAAAACCTTCAGGTGCTTTTATTTGTGCTAGTGTGTTTGTCTGAGCACACTGTACGCAAGTGTCTGTTTTAAACGAGTTGTCACCTCTGTATTTTAGCGTGATGTATTTTGGGAAAAGGGTTGTGAGTGAATGAGGAAAGAAAACAGATCACCTTGATTAATTCGCGTGACAATATGCCCTTACCTTTTGACCTCTTGTGCTTTTCTGGAGAATTCCATTTGTTTTTCTCAGTGTTGGAAAGACAGGGACACTGTTAAAACATCATTCTTGATGAAGTGCTTTATTTTATTGGTTTTTATTGAGAGTATTATTCTTATTATATGCATTAAATACTTTTTAAATTGTTTGATGTGAGTTACGTTGATTTACTTGATATACAGCGTTGGTTTCATTTCGGTTGTGTGTGTGTGTGTTTCGCTCCAAAGAGCAATTCCATGTAATACTTTGTTGAAGGATGTTCTGTTGACTCATTTCATTGAACAACATTGCACTTGGTTTTAACGATCTACAGTGAATATTGAGAAAGATTTCTTCAGGAAAGCATCTGTAGAAGCTTTTCTGTAAATTAAATTCTCCACATGCTTCGGCTTGTTAAAGTGAGGTCACGTTTGCAGTTGAGCTAAGCTGCCTTTTCTTTCAATGCCTGTAAGACACTTGAAGAGGTGAGTTTGTGTATGTGTGTGTGTATATATAGTTGCAATCAAACTTATTAAACCCCCTTGACCTGGAAGACATTTTGCTGCAGAGAACAAAACTTTATGAAAACAATTAAACAAAGGAATCTATTATAAAAAGTTTATTCATACAAATTTGAGTGATTCTGAGAATGTAAAGTTGATGAAAGAAATCTAATTGGTTCTAAGCATTCATGTACAAAATTATTCAACACCCAAAAAGTAAATTTTTTGCAGAATCTTTTATTCTTTATAACCTCCAATAAATTCTGCCTTTGAGAGCTTAGAAGTTTCGGTCACCTCTCTGCTGCAATCTTGCCCCATTCCTCACTTCAAAAAGCTTCCAGGTCACTGATTCCAGTTGGTTTTCATGTTACCACTGCTTTCCACCAAATATTTACGATGAGAACATTGTACGACTGATCTCTGATCCAAGCTTCAGTAGATTTGGATGTATACTTTTGGATGGCTGTCCGTCCATTGATCACCAAGCTTCAGTCTCTGCACCGAAGACATCACCATCTTTACCAAAATCCCTTGATATAATTCATGATTTCCTCCTACAGTCGAGATTTCCACTATCTGCAATAACAAGACTAATGTTTGACCATGCATGGGCTAAAATTATGCGATTGTAACAGCACAAGCTAATTCAGTTTTGATATAAAGTTTCCAAAGGCTTAATTGTAAACACAATTTTGTACCATACCATACACATAAGTGACATAAAAACAGCAGTGTTGATTAAGACAGCTGTATTACAAAAAATTCCTTTAAATCAAAAGCATTACATTATATATTGACATTTTTATTTTGCCACTAAACCGTTATTGAAGCAATAAAAAAAAAAACTATCTTTAGAAAAGCTTACATTTGTAAATTATTACAGTCTCCGGGGGTTGAATAATTTTGATTGCAACTGTGTGTGTATATACACTCACCGGCCACTTTATTAGGTACCCCATGCTAGTAACGGGTTGGACCCCCTTTTGCCTTCAGAACTGCCTCAATTCTTCGTGGCATAGATTCAACAAGGTGCTGGAAGCATTCCTCAGGGACTTTGGTCCATATTGACATGATGGCATCACACAGTTGCCGCAGATTTGTCGGCTGCACATCCATGATGCGAATCTCCCGTTCCACCACATCCCAAAGATGCTCTATTGGGTTGAGATCTGGTGACTGTGGAGGCCATTTTAGTACAGTGAACTCATTGTCATGTTCAAGAAACCAATTTGAAATGATTAGAGCTTTGTGACATGGTGGAAGTAGCCATCAGAGGATGGGTACATGGTGGCCATAAAGGGATGGACATGGTCAGAAACAATGCTCAGGTAGGCCGTGGCATTTAAACGATGCCCAATTGGCACTAAGGGGCCTAAAGTGTGCCAGGAAAACATCCCCCACACCATTACACCACCACCACCAGCCTGCACAGTGGTAACAAGGCATGATGGTTCCATGTTCTCATTCTGTTTACGCCAAATTCTGACTCTAACATCTGAATGTCTCAACAGAAATCGAGACTCATCAGACCAGGCAACATTTTTCCAGTCTTCAACTGTTCAATTTTGGTGAGCTCTTGCAAATTGTAGCCTCTTTTTCCTATTTGTAGTGGAGATGAGTGGTACCCGGTGGAGTCTTCTGCTGTTGTAGCCCATCCGCCTCAAGGTTGTGCGTGTTGTGGCTTCACAAATGCTTTGCTGCATACCTCGGTTGTAACGAGTGGTTATTTCAGTCACTGTTGCCCTTCTATCAGCTCGAACCAGTCTGGCCATTCTCCTCTGACCTCTGGCATCAACAAGGCATTTCCGCCCACAGAACTGCCGCTCACTGGATGTTTTTTCTTTTTCGGACCATTCTCTGTAAACCCTAGAGATGGTTGTGCGTGAAAATCCCAGTAGATTAGCAGTTTCTGAAATACTCAGACCAGCCCTTCTGGCACCAACAATCATGCCACGTTCAAAGTCACTCAAATCAACTTTCTTCCCCATACTGATGCTCGGTTTGAACTGCAGGAGATTGTCTTGACCATGTCTACATGCCTAAATGCACTGAGTTGCCGCCATGTGATTGGCTGCTTAGAAATTAAGTGTTAACGAGCAGTTGGACAGGTGTACCTAATAAAGTGGCCGGTGAGTGTATATATATAGTATCATATTAAATGGTATTAATATTTATCCAAATTATTTAAGGATTTATGTTTACATTTATGCATTTTGACATGCTTTTATCCAAATTGACTTTATTTTTTAATGCATTCTCTGGCAATTAAACTTGTTGCTTGTGCCGTGCTCTACTGTTTGAATGAATATACAATTAAAATATTTAGAACTTTTTATTATTAATATGTTGACAAGTAATATCATAATTGTCAACAATAAACTGCTACATCAGTGATCACTATAGATCAGTGTTTCTTAAAGTATTTAATCATTCTTAAGTGAAATTTTCTATATGAAAATAGTTAGGAATTGATGTAATACAACATTGAGGATAAGCAGAAAACAAAATGATATGATTTCACTTAAAACCCCTGGATATCACTGAGTCTGCTTGTTTCTGCGTATTTCATGTTTTTAATTGAAATTGAAATTAAATCTGTATAATATAAATGTATACAGATTTATCATATAAATCTGCATAAATTGCAATGTCTTTAGACATAAGATAAATTGGTAGATTTAACAAATATAGTATATTGGCTCTTATTTGAGTCCTGAGCCAAAAGAAGTTTCCGAATCCTGTTATAGGCCATTAATAACTTAAAACCATATTGAAGCAAGTGCTTTCATCATGTGTTTGTTTTGGATGTGAATGTCGCCATGTGTTGGTCTTATTCATTGCCTATGCCTAACTGCACAACATTCATCAGTGCTCATCAAACATTTCTTAAACCATGAGCAAATACAGTGTATACTTTAACTTAAGCCCTGGAATCAGTGGAATCTGTGTGATGTGTAATAGCCCACAACTTCCAAAACCAATGATCAAAGTCAAACGACAGCAGACACACACATTACTTAATAACAGCTGGGTGTTTAGATAGGCTACTTCTGCCTAAAGTGAGGAAGCCACTTATCTGGGCTGTTTTATAAGTTGATTTATGACTAACTAATCTTTTGTGTGTAATAATAAGTGTAGCAATAACTTTGTTTTTCACAATTATGTTAACTAGAACAAAGACATTCTTTGATCAACTGCTGTAGAGCCTGTTCCTTAGCTGCCACGTTTCCCAATCTGTGTGATCTGTGTACGTCAAATGAACTGAGTGAGTGAGTTTGCTTGCCAAGTGCCCAAATATTCCAGGTAAGTGCCAGTTAAACTCAGTTTAACCATCTATAATACATTCAGAACAAAATGCACTAGCACACACTCCCACTCATTTTCTCACCCATCTTTAATTTCACTTAAATCTAGCTCTGTTGTTTTGCGTATATGCTTTTCTTACACATCTTTTCACAAAAGAGGCGTTGAAATAGTTGCTGGTGAAACCACCGTTCCATTGTTCTGCTTCCTCGTCACCTTTCATTCACGGTAGGCCTATACCTTTCTCACCTATTCTTCCACTTGGCAACACTAGGCCTATATGTGATTTGTAGTTTTTGCCAACTTGTGGTTTTGCCACACATCCGTCGTGC